TTCATACTTACATTTCCAGCTTCCGTTTTCATTTTGACTCAGTAGACCCCAGAGACACATCAGGTACTTGACACAGAATTAGAGCATACATGCGACTGACACGCGGTTTCTATCAAATTTGAAAATCTTTCAATCAGATATATTCGAAAATTTGCGTGACACATGTTCTGTTGAGAACGTTAGTGACGGTAACCAGTGCAGTTGACTGCAAAGTGTGTGTGAGGTGAAATGTGCTTTTACGTCGTACCTAAAAATATATCGCTCATATGACGACGTGCATGCGTGTGTATGTGTGGCTGCTTGTACTAACCCAGACTTGAGCTAGTTTTATAGTGCATAATGTAGCTCGCTGAGATACCATGCTGCAGTTAAGCATGAATACGCCCACTCAAACACTTTATACTGACTCTGCTGCCGAGCGCCAGCCAGGGACCAGTTTTTGATAGATGGACGGGATGGGATGCTGGACGCCCTTGCGGATACGGTGGATGCCTTTTGACGACAACCACAGTTTTCTGGGTGAAAACGCCAACAGGAGGTGTCATATGAATTTGGACGCTAGTTAGAACAGAGTAATTACTACTTTTGAAAATGCAATAGCAAAAAACACCACGGGTAGGTAGAACTGTGCATTTGAAGTATTTGGCTCCTGGATTGAGTGAGTGAGAAATAAGTTGACTATTTACAGGCCTTGGCGCTATAGCTGGGATATTGCTGGAAACATCACCAGTATTTCCCTCACAATTACATACTCACCTATCTAGCAGAGACTTGAAATTCAACAAACAATAACACAGAAAACCTTGCATGGAATATTTATTACTTCCATCCAATATTGGCACATAAATATTATCAAGACAAAGTAATATGAGAGACATTACCACAAATCATAGATGAGTCATGACCTCGAATGGGTATGTCCAGATTCTGTAGTTGCTATGTCATTGTGACTACAGTGATGGCAATCCAACTACAGCCAACCATCCTTCTCATGTGGAGACTAAATACCTGTCTAAGGAACAGTTATTGTAAGAAAATAGACATCATTATCATTCTCTGTGGATTAAAATCTCCTCTTGTGTTGGCATGTGCCAGCAATGACTGTGAAACAACATGGCTTGTCTAGTGAAGTTCTTTCAGGAGAATGCTTCTTGCTTTAAACTAAAGAGTGAGTGAGTTTATATATATACGCCACTTTCAACAACATTACACCATTGTCATTTCGTTAAAATGTAATAACCACCATGTTCCTCCAGCTCAAAAACATTACTTCCACCTTGATCATTTGGCACGATACATTCAGACACAGTTTCAAAATACAGTTTCAGGCCTGTAGAGGCGTAACTATGAAAACAAGAGCTTTGATCGTAACCCTTTTAACGAATGCGAAATCATAGACAATGAATGGATAAAATTTAATGATACATGCATTTTGCGAGAAAATATGATAGGTTGTTTGGTGAAGTTTTTACCCTACTGTATGTCATTTTAAGGACATTGGGAAAAAACCATGATAGTAATCTCAAAAATCAAAGCAGTTCACTTGGTGACAAGACAGCTAACGTGGTTGCAAAATTAGTTACGAAGCCAATCGAGAGGACATAAAGTTGATATCATACTGTCTTTCGATATTAAATTTTCAAAGGCAGAAATGTCATCATTTGCTAAAGGACGTGACCTTTCTGCAAAATGCCATTGTTCATATGTCAATGGTTGGATGTGTCTGCGACATGCTGTTCATGTTCATATGTCAATGGTCTGACCTGTCTGCAACATGCCACATGGTGTTGATGATGTTCATATGTAAGTGCTCTGACCTGTCTGCCACATGCCACATGGTGTCGATGATGTTCATTTGTAAGTGCTCTGACCTGTCTGCAACATGCCACATGGTGTTGATGATGTTCATATGTAAGTGCTCTGACCTGTCTGCAACATGCCACATGGTGTTGATGATGTTCATATGTCAATGGTCTGACCTGTCTGCAACATGCCACATGGTGTTGATGATGTTTATATGTAAGTGCTCTGACCTGTCTGGTGTTGATGATGCCACATGGTGTTGATGATGTTCATATGTCATATGTAAGTGCTCTGACCTGTCTGCAACATGCCACATGGTGTTGATGATGTTCATATGTCAATGGTCTGACCTGTCTGCAACATGCCACATGGTGTTGATGATGTTCATATGTAAGTGCTCTGACCTGTCTGCAACATGCCACATGGTGTTGATGATGATGTTCATATGTGTTGATGTGTTCATCTGACCTGTCTGCAACATGCCACATGGTGCCGATGATGTTCATATGTAAGTGCTCTGACCTGTCTGCAACATGCCACATGGTGTCGATGATGTTCATATGTAAGTGCTCTGACCTGTCTGCAACATGCCACATGGTATCGATGATGTTCATATGTAAGTGCTCTGACCTGTCTGCAACATGCCACATGGTGTCGATGATGTTCATATGTAAGTGGTCTGACCTGTCTGCAACATGCCACATGGTGTTGATGATGTTCATATGTAAGTGCTCTGACCTGTCTGCAACATGCCACATGGTGTTGATGATGTTCATATGTAAGTGCTCTGACCTGTCTGCAACATGCCACATGGTGTTGATGATGTTCATATGTCAATGGTCTGACCTGTCTGCAACATGCCACATTGTGTTGATGATGTTCATATGTCAATGGCCTGACCTGTCTGCAACATGCCACACGGTGTTGATGATGTTCATATGTCAGTGTCTGACCTGTCTGCAACATACCACGTGGTGTTGATGATGTTCATATCTCAATGGTCTGACCTGTCTGCAACATGCCACACGGTGTTGATGATGTTCATATGTCAGTGGTCTGACCTGTCTGCAACATACCACATGGTGTTGATGATGTTTATATCTCAATGGCCTGACCTGTCTGGAACATGCCACATGGTGTTGATGATGTTTATATCTCAATGGCCTGACCTGTCTGGAACATGCCACATGGTGTTGATGATGTTTATATCTCAATGGCCTGACCTGTCTGGAACATGCCACATGGTGTTGATGATGTTTATATCTCAATGGCCTGACATGTCTGGAACATGCCACATGGTGTTGATGATGTTTATATCTCAATGGCCTGACCTGTCTGGAACATGCCACACGGTGTTGATGATGTTTATATCTCAATGGCCTAACCTGTCTGCAACATGCCACACGGTGTTGATGATGTTTATATCTCAATGGCCTAACCTGTCTGCAACATGCCACACGGTGTCCATATGTCAGGATTAAGGTGCCTTGAAGCCTAAGGTACTAAAGTATTGCTGATGTGACGCTAAACATAACTCATTCACTCACTGAATGCGGTGAGGCTCACCATACCCTGTTTTAACATTGCCAAACATCTGTAAAAGAATTTGGCGCCATCTGGAAGATGAGCATAGGAATTTTGAATGGCATTCATCGGAAACAATGTATGTAAATGTCACATGTACTGTGAGATGAACAAGGCAAAGGCATGACCCTTACATATAGTGTAACTGTTCCGGAACTTCTGTCATATTCTGGGTCGGGCTATGCTGGAAAGGCCCATACAAGAAGATTTAGACAAAAGCTAACGAGTGACCTGGAGAGACAGATTATATTTCCCCAGTTATATTAATTACGTAATGCTCGAGCCTCAGCGAGAGAATTACATAACTAATGTAACGAGGAAAGATAATCTGCCATTCCCCGTCATGAGTTGGTTATTGTTCTTATTACCATATCAGTTTGCGATCTAAAAAACGCTAAAATGTAAACAGTAGTTTCCCTATAAAGATACCCGTGAAACCAACGTTCACTAAAAGGTGTAACCTCCCTAAGGACTTATAAGGAAAATACTACCCTGTGACCTCCTTCCCATATGGGCAACAATTATCTTGTTCCGCCTTTAGGAATAAGAACAAAACCATTCCACAGAAGCAACCTTTTAGTACCATACAGCACCGTCCAGAACTGTCCGTGTAAATATACCATACCACTCCCCCTACAGAAGGTCAACAGAAACAATGTGATATACTTGAATTACTGTATCACAGTGAATGACGCTGCACATAACGGTACGAAGTACGTCAATGTACGTGTGCAAATGCATCCAAACAACTGACCTTTTAAAAACATAACGGTTCCATACGGTACCCAGTGTGGACTTCACAGAGTCGCGGCTTGCCTTGGGAAAATTTGTTACATCCATGCCACTGCTGAAGGTCTTAGCACACAAATGAACATTCTTGAAACAGTCACATATTTGTTAGCGGCAGTTGGCTAGCATATTTATAATAGAAGGGGTGACAAAAAGGCACGGTGGAAGGAGTGCCATCCACATGGCAGTACTGCCTTAAGTTGTGGTTTATGTCGTGTCTGATGGGAACGTGACGCCATCTTTAATTTCTTATGTAAATGTATATATGTCACGGTGTGCAACGTCCGCCATCAGACTATTTTAGGTCTACTGTGTTTTTAATGCCTTGAAGTAACTGACGTGCAATGCCTATATATTCCCTATGCAGAACATAGTTTAAAATCAGTATGCTGGTTAATAGTAACATAACACTACATTTAAATGTTTCTAGTCTAGTCATGTTTTGAAAAGCTATGAAGTTTGTGTTACTTGTTAGTTAAACGCCAATTAACGATATTTTCGAAATACGCATCACGGTGTATATAAACATGATTATTGTCATCAGTTTACCTGTTAGCACTGCAATTTCCATTACTAGGACCATGACTGCATCATGTCTCATAAAATGTCTTTATCTCGGCTTAATGATGGCAGGGGAAAATATTGACGGAGAAATATTATGTTTCACTTAATTATCACTAATGCATGTGCTTTTAAATCTGCTATTCTAGTTTGCTCATTTAATTGATCAGTGCCGAGTCATTATAATAATCTAAGCAACAGTCTATAAAATGAAAAGCTGTTGGATAGCCCTCATTGTGAACATCACCACTGAACACGGAAACATGTCTGTTAAAATCCTCTACGTTTTACTCGCCACACTGTTCTGCTTCAATACCATTGATGGAACCAGGTCGGCATTAGGGAGACTGAAGGCACATCTCCAAAAGGATAGAAATGCTGGCATCAGTGTTGATCTCCCCAATGAGAAACGGGTTAACATAAGTATGTTGCCAATGTCGATTTCCAATCTCAATGCTGCTGAGCGGACATTCACTTTTAGTGCTTGTTTCTCCACAACGTGGCTCGACAGAAATCTGGCTTGGAACAAAACCGATTACGAAAATATTACGAAAGTGACCATCTCTGAGAAACATGTGTGGACACCTGTCTTTGCCATTCCTAATGCCCTTGAAGACGTAACTATGTCGTCAAACCAATTGCCGAAGATTAACATGTATGGAATAACAACACTTCAGTTTCTTGAGGGTTTCAAGACCACTTGTCAAATAGACATCACTCTGTACCCGTTTGACCAGCAGCGATGTAGCATCCTGTTCACACCTGCAAACAATTTCGATCTTGGAATAGCTACGACAGGTTCTATTATACAGGGACTGCCATCTTTCTTCATTGAGAACAGTGAATGGGAGTTGGTCGACATACTAGCCAAGGATGTACATGTTAACAAGCCCGGGATATCAAGTGTTGCATCCTTTGAATTTCTTCTGAAACGCAAGAGCATGTTCTATATAGTGAGTATCATCTTTCCCATGACTCTTCTCTCTCTGCTCAACGCCTGTGTGTTCCTCCTACCAGCTGACTCCGGAGAGAAGATGTCCTACCTCATCTCAATATTTGTATCCTATGCAGTGTTCTTGAACTTCGTCAACGACTCAATTCCCAAGTCTGGAGACGTTTGTCGACTGTCTGTGTACCTGACCCTCGTTCTTTGCCAGAGCTGCCTGGCTATCCTCACAACCATGGCCATCCTCAATGTCCGCAGTAGGGGTCTCCGACTTCAGACCAAGTCTGGTGTACATCCAGCGAATGCCAAAGTCACCACGAACGGCACTGAACGTCCACATCTGAAGTGTGCAACAAAAACAGACCTAGTTTTGTTCGGAGTGTTCCTGCTTCTGGCACTGATGTCTCTGCTGGTGTTTTGTGTATAGGAAGGATTTCGTCTGTACGTCGAAACTCCATCCCCTCATTCTCTATAGGAATGCCTAGCGTGTAATTAACATTTCCGATTTGGGATTCGCAATAACATTTTGTCATGCGTCGCTTGCTTAGGTAATTATTCAGTCTGTGGTCAACTACTGTCAGACCAAGACGGGTGTACTGCTAAACGACACTGAAAACACGAACGGCGCTCCACGTCTGCTCCAGACATATGGCGCTTACATCAACTTTTCTCCTGTTTGCTCTTATTTATTTGGCACTGATGTCCCTGCTAGTGTTTTGTGCATAGGATGGATTCAGCTAGATATAGATACCCAAACCATTGTCCACAAAGCAATACAAATGTAACGTTTGTCGTTATTCTATGCTAACGTTGTTTAATATATCCCTCATCTTTCGAACATGTAACTGTTGTTTCAATTTTGTGATCCTTCAGTGATTTGTATGTGTAGATTATTTTGTTGACTGCGATATAATGAGCCGTATGTTCTTATAGTCAATGATATGTATACATGTATACTGTTTTGGGAAGTTATGTTACGGATTTGTTAAACATCCTCAGATTACAGGCATTACCCCAACGGGTTAAGGAAAAACCGAGCAGCTGTCTTTGCTGCGGTTAATGGTTACACAACATTCTTTTTGCCATGACAAGGAATTGATTTTCCGTTATTCTCTGTGTATCGTAGACACACAGTAGTGTCGAATCTGCATAACAATACAATCTTATATGTTACGTTCCATAATGCCAAGTCCCGAATATCCTCTGAACAGACCCTCGAATACCACCTCCCGAAAGGGATGTGGCAGCCATTTACACGCTACGTTCACTTTACTAATAAATCCACTACGTATTCAGTTCCTAGTATGGCGATTTACCTTGTTGTTGGTGACCTATAGCCCGGTTTGTATATTGCATTGTCCTGTTTTGTAATAAATGTTTTAATGCTTACATGCTAGTTTTAACTTTGTATCTGCGATACCCTAGTTGTTTTATTGCCCTTTGCTCACGGATTTTACAAAATAATTTTTATTTATTATTAAAGTATATATTGTTATAGTCACGATATGGCTGCAATACTGTCGATGTGGCTCTAAATCTTAACTCACTCACACAAGTACAGAGTATCCTCTGAACAGACCCTCGAATACCACCTACCGAAATGGATGTGTCAGCCATTTACAGGCTACGTTCACTTTACTCATACATCCACAACGTATTCAGTTCCTTGTTCCTTAATACTGAGGAGTTTAGGGTGTAAACAACAGAGATATCTCCTTTTGCAAAGATGTTTCGTGTGTGTTTGTTAATGGTGGAAGAGAGAGTTTGGGGAGGTTATTATCAGACATTCACTTTCATTTTCAGCTTCCGCTTTCTTTATGAAAGAAGTGTCGGATGACTGAGACACAGGTTGCCCTGGCAACATCTGATATATCTATACCAATGTTCAAGATCATAATCACATGTAACCCTCTTGAAATCTTGGAAGCTGACATGACGTTTACGGATAAGTTCTTCTTTAAATTAAATTCAACATTAAAGGTTATTGAACATTATTTGCCTGTGTTTTGCTATTACCGTTTATGTTAATATGTGCAATTCACGAAATTGAGCTCTGCGTTTAATTGCGGTTTTACAATTTGATCACCAAAGTGGACAGTTTAATGACTAATGCTTAAATACGGGAATTCCTGGTAGAAAGTGTCTGTGATAGATGGTTGTGATCGGATGCTGGAGGGGGATGTATTTGCGAATGTCACACGAAATTGGACACTGAACACTGGGCATAACAGTAATTACTACTTTTGCAATTACAATAGCAAACAGTTACAAAAACACCATGGGTAGTTAGAACTGTGCATTTGAAGTATTTGACTCCTGAATAAGTTGACTATTTACAGGCCTTGATGTTACAGCTGGATGCAGCTTCAGTCATTCACTAACAGAGACTTGAAATTGAACAATGACAAAGAAAACATTGCATGGAATATTTATTACTTTCATCCAATATTGGCACATAAATATTATCAAGACAAAGTAATATGTGAGACATTACCACAAATCATAGATGAGTCATGACCTCGAATGGGTATGTCCAGATTCTGTAGTTGCTATGTCAGTTTCAATGTGACTACAGTGATGGCAGTCCAACTACAGCCAACCATCCTTCTCATGTGGAGACTAAATACCTGTCTAAGGAACAGTCATTGTAAAGAAATAGACATCATTAACATTCTCTGTGGATTAAAATCTCATCTTGTGTTGGCATGTGCCAGCAATTATTGTGAGACAACATGGCTTGTCAAGTAAACCTCTTTCAGGAGAATGCTTCTTGCTATAAACTAAAGAATAAGTTATATGTGTGCCCCTTTTAGCAATAGTCCAGCAATATCCAGTGCGGACACCAGAAATAGGCTTCACACATTGTACAGAGAAAGCTGAATGAACTGATACCTGCACCATTGTCATTTCCTTAAAACCTAATAGCCACCATGTTCTTCCAGCTCAGGCTTCCCCATTGAACATTTGGCAAGATACACGCAAATACAGTTTCAAAATACAGTTTCAGACCTGCAGAGGCATTACTATAGAGCTTTGACCTTTTAGCAGAACCTTTTTAAAGAGGTTCAAATCATAGACATTGTATGGATAAAATTTAATGCTACATGCATTTACATGGATTTAAATACATGTAGTTATTAGCACAACCTCCACAGGTAAAAGGGCTGGTGGTTAAAGTGTTCGCTCCTCACGCCGAAGACCCGGGTTCGATTCCCCACATGGGTACAATGTGTGAAGCCAATTTCTGGCGTCTCCCACTGTGATATTGCTGGAATATTGCTAAATGCAGCGTAAAACTAAACTCACTCACTCCACAACTAAGTGAGACAAATCTGCATTTGTTCAAGCAAAACAGAATCCTGTTGCAGGCAGAAACCTTGAAAACAAAGTTAAAATCATTCAAGGAATCTGGTTGCTGTTTGTAGTTGGTAACACTGTGGACAAAACATTATTGCAGTTCACTAGAATAAAGAGATCTTTGCTTGACAATTAAGGGCATTCCACACTATTGTACCTCTGACTAAATGTTCTTTAAACACTCAACACAGTCATTCATTCTGACTCAGGCAGAGTCTATACAGTTTTCATATTAAATATACAGTTACAGCACACAATATGTACATCGGTATTAACAAAAGGCAGTGTAACTTACACACAACAGCATCGAATGCAAATTATACTCCAACAGAATATAAATATCAAGATTGAGGTTAACAAAATAAGTTGAAAATAGAAACTATATCCAAGCTTCATGACTTGTTGACAAGACAGCTAGTATGGTTGCAAATTTAGTTACTAAGCCAAGAGGACATGAAGTTCTTTCATTTCATCATACAGTCTTTCAATAATAAATTTTCAAAGGTGAAAATGATCATTTGCTAAAGGATCATTGACTCAAGGACATGACCTGTCTGGACCATGTCACATGGTGTTTGATCACATGGTACAGTCGGTTGCGATGCCGACCACACACTGAGGTACAAGCTGGACAGATTTCCATAGAGCAGTTCAGATCCAGAGTGAAAGTGCACTGCAATACTTTGTGACAATTCAAGTATAATACTGTAAAACTATTTATACTATGCAACATTCACCATAGACATTTAGTATAGATCAATACAAATCCATTCACACAATTACAGCAGAACAGAAATTTAGTATGACTACGGATCTTTCTAATCGTCCATACCACTTGTCAGATGTCATTGTTTGTCTACGTGACTCGAGATTACTAAACTGTTTTATTGAGTCTCCAGTGTGATATCAAGATTATACTATGACAATTAATTAACAATGCTACTGAGATACCAAACATGAGATCTGTGGTTTCTGTAAGCTGAAGGGTAGAGGCACAAGCTCCAAACACTGCTATCACACAACAGCTTTTGATGACTTTGGATAAAATGTTCCCTTATAACGAAGGTATAAGAGAGCAGTCTGAAAGTTGAATGTTGGATAAAATTCTTAATTCCTTATGAGGGTGAGGTGAGGTGAGGTTGAGGTGGAGGTGAAATAGGATATATGTCACTTTGTTCACTCAGAGTTAGGCCTAAAAAAAAAATGTTGTGGTTCCGATTACCCGACCGACCCTTGAATTCTGGTGCCGACCCTACTTTTTTTAGCGGAATGAATAAATAAGCTTTCAGATACCATTGTGTTTTCCCAGCACCAACAGATATTTGTCATTCTGATAGAGAAAGTCGATATGATGGCCACAAGCTTTATTGAATAAACAATTACACATTGATAAATGTGTTATTAGTTTGTACTATACTTCTAAAAAAAATATGTAAAAAAAATAAATTCTGACCTACCTACTCTAAATTTTTAAGAGGTGTAATCAGAACCACAACATTCTCTTTATTTGGCCTTATGTAGGATGTGTGTTGATTCAGTATAAAGGCTACTGAGAAACCACTACCACAGTACAACATGGATATATACACTCAGGTTTGGTTTGGCTTGTTGTTTTACGCCGCACTCAGCAATATTCCAGCTATATGGTGGTGGTCTGTAAATAATCGAGTCTGGACCAGACAATCCAGTGATCAACAGCATGAGCATCGACCTATGCAATCGGGATACAATGACTTGTGTCAACCAAGTCAGTAAGCATGACCACCTGATCCCCTTAGTCGCCTCTTACGACAAGCATGGGTTACTGAAGGCCAATTCTAACCCTGATCTCCATGGGTACACTCAGACGTAATATAATGACCCTGCACAAGCCAGTCCATGGTCTGTATCCTCCAAGCTAAGCAGGTCAGGTAACATCGCATGCCATCTCAGATTGTTTGGTGCATGACGAGGCTCGCTGCAGTCAGACATTCCTTCCACAGGGGTGAGTGTTTATATTGTTAATTCAATGGAACCACGCACTGCAGTATCAGGTGTTCAGAGTATGTAATACAAAATATTTAAATATTTGAAAAAGGAAAGATTATGAAAATTGCAGGTAAAATAATTTGATAAACAAGAGTGTGAGTTGAGTTTAACACTGCTTTTAACACTAGGGTTCAAATACAAGAATGAGTGCCAGGCAACAGACTTTAAGATGTGTTGGTGCACACATTCAGTTGAGCTCTATGCTAACAGAATTTAGCAGTACTATAATGGTATGCATGGTTGTCTGTCTGAAAGAATTCAAGGACCTCAACCTTTTCAAATTAATGTGTTTAGGTGGTGAAGATGTATGAACCAGAACGTAAGGAATTAAGTGTTCTTATCCAACATCAATTCTTTCATTTGAAAAGAAGTTCATAGGTTTCTTGGACATGGTTGCTATAGACAGCCTGTGACTGATACAAAGTAAAACTTCACCAAAATACTAAAACAAACAACGCAATAAACAAACATAAACACATAATTAACAAAACAACTAAGGTTCAGCAGAAAAGAAAAACAAGTTAACTAAAACATGCTAGAATATTAGCAAAATTCCCAATCAGTTTGTTAGAAATAATTTGAGCAGTACAAAGGAACAAAGATATTGTTTGTCAGTGTGCTTCGGAGAGTTGTCTTCACCTGGTAATGTTCCAGACTTTTTTGACTTATACCAGCACTGGTATCAATAGTTCAGCAGCAATTACACCCTTTTTTATTTGTAACATCAGTACTGCGTACTACAGGAATAGGTTATTGTTGTTGGAAAGTGGCGACTGTCGTGTTGTATAATGATAGATTCTACTGGCATCCAGGAGAGAACCAGTTTTACTCCCTTGTCTTCATCGCAACACATTTGTCACTTCTGTATTTTGATTTCTGTAAGGGTACACGTATGTAGAGCTCAAGTGACATTTGACCCTCTTCATTTTCACCTCTTCTTGGAGTAAATACTTAAAAAAATGTGATGTTCATCTAGCTTTACACCTTTATGCTTATGTAATCACTAAGTAACTCTTCACTTATTCGGTCTTGTCGGATCTGATTCTTTAAACACCAGCTACAAATATATACAATCAATCTCCCTTAAAATTCATCATTTAGTGAAACCATATCACACAAAATCAACTGCAAACTAAAAAATAATGGATGCAACTAACTTTTTTGTGATAGTGCATTGATAAGGCATCATACAGAAAAAGACATCTTGGAGTACAATGCACAATGCAATGTGAACTACCCTTTCACCATGAAACAAAAATGTTGAAACCCTGTGAGAGCTACAGAATGTTCTTTCCCCCAATCAGTGCTGCCATGAGTAGTATATAATGTTAGTATACAGAGAGACAAGAAAACAGAGATAGCTTCTAAATAGATAAATGCCCTGGTGTATAATCAGAAATTCATAGACACGCCTATACTGCTTAACGTCTCAGTTAAGACTACAGTGTACTCACACAAACTGGTAAAAATAAAATGCATACATAATAAAACCCCAAAATAAAACAGTAGTTGTCCTAACCCCCACTAGACATCACATAGTGGAACAAACCACTTTGGCAATACTGGTTAAGACTAGTTTAGACTAGTCTGTACTGGTGGCTAGAGCTGGTGTTGGCTAGTTTGTAATGGTGCTGAGACATCATGTGGGCTGCTTAGTACCAGAAATGGGTTTCCTCTTCCTTGCTGTCAAACCCTGAAACCAGATTGTGTTCCACTGCAGACCAGCTGAACATGTTTATGGCAGTTGTCAAGCAGTTACCTTTAAAATGGACTCAATGATAAACTGCTGCACAGACTCTGAAATATTTAAATGGCATGTGTTACGGCCAAAACTGTATATATTTTGAATTTTTTGTTTTTGTGGGTTTGTATGAAATATGTTATGGTTGACAGAAACGCCTCTACTTTTGTTTGTCGTTAAATATTTTAGCGGGTTGCATTTAGGGGTGTCAAGGGGAGATAAGTTTGGGTAGTTATGTGATTCGTGATCAGTATGTCACCTGCTTGCCATGTGAGCGTGTCAGAGAGCAGATGGTCTACAAACGTCAATCCATAGCAAGGACAGTTGCGTCGAATTGGCCCGAATCTGCTTAGAAATCCAGAATATTGTCGTTTCAATATGAATATGAATCATGATGAACTTGAGAGACACTTGCGTTGAATTGGCCCGTATCTGCTTACAAATCCTATTGACATTTCAATATGAATATGAATCATGATGCACTTGAGAGAAAAGAATAAAAGCAATTCCTGAACTACAACTATTGCGTTGAAACTGACTCAAAGAACTACAGCATGTCTTGGGAACTGATTTGTTTTATCAAATGCATTGAATGTTCTGAAACACCAAATAACATACAGAATATGACTTACTGTCCTATGTAATTTTGAATTTTTTCTTTGTAAAAGAGAGATGATTTTTTTTCAATGACTTGTCTCCCTTACTATTGTAGTTGCAAGTATTTGTATGTTTGTATTTTAACTTAAGCCCAAATCAGGTATATTGCAGGTCTGTCATGGGTGTTCTCAATATAATCAAGTCACCAATCAAGCCAATGACTGTCCTGTCAAACTGCCACTCATGACCAGCAATAAAGTGTTGTAGGTGTCTTTTGCGATGGGCTCACCTCAGCTGCAGAGTTCTCGGAGTTTGAGCTGGAGTATACAGGGTTGGTCTCCACTGCAGGGTGATCCTCCTCTTCATCGTTTTCATCCTTCTCAGCATCATGCTCACTTCCATCGTCATCAAGGAAACCATCTTCCTCTATTATCATTTCTTCATCAGTGTCTGAAGGAGAAGAAGGAGCACGGTTTTAGGTGATGAGTGAGTGAGTGAGTTTTTAGCAATATTCCAGCAACATCACAGCGGGAGACAACAGAAATTGGCTTCACACTTTGTACCCATGTGGGGAATCGAACCTGTGCGTTCAACATGAGAGGACGCTCTAACCATTAGGCTACCCCACCCCCTCTTGGTGAACTGATGAAAGAAATAAGTACTCATTTCAATACGAGAGTCTCAGAATAAACTGAATCCCTGACAAGTCACACTGGCATTGACTAAATACTCCGACTTGCTCCTGGTCATCACCGTGACGTGGAACAACCTATAAGGGGGAAGTTCAAGAACTGCCAGAAAAGAGACACAAACATAAGTGTCAGAAACTGAAAATGGAATCTATTGACTGAATTTAAGTGTCATAATTTCCATCAGGTGAAATTAATTACCAGGGTCCTTTCAGAAGACATAAGGTTTTTGACAATGTATACTTACACTCTGTCTCATATTCATCATCCGTGAGGTAGAAAACGGTGGACTTGGGCTTGGTGATCTTAGACACCTTCTCAGCCAGGTCAGTGAAGTAGGCCATGACAGGGATGTGGGACTGCTGTAACACAAGCAGGTAATAGCCTCACTGCAACACTTCCAGGAAATATCACCATAGCAACACAACCAGTTATCATTTACACAGTGACACAACCACTATCAAGAGAGAAATACAATATAACCAGATCGATCCATGATTGATCAAGACATCTCATACAAATGGTATATTGGTGCATACAGAGGTGAAATTGGGTTTAACGTCGTGCTTGAGAATATTTCGCTCATATGACGATGTGCATGCGTGTGTATGTGTATGTGCGGCTGCTTGTACTAGCCCAGACTTAAGCTGGTTTTATAGTGCTAGCTCACTGAGATACCATGCCGCAGTGAAGCATGAATACCCCACTCAGACACATTATACTGACTCCGAGCCGACCAGTCCTTGTTGTACCCATTATTGCCGAGCGCCAGGCAGGGACCAACAAGTACCATATTTAAACGTCTTTTGGTATGACGCGGTCGGGCATCGAACCCGCGACCTTCCACTCTCCGGGCGGACGCTCTAACCACTACACCACGGAGGCGGTCGGTGCATACAGAAATGTGAGGCATCGGTAAATTCTTACTTTCAAGCCAAAAGTCAAATATTTGAAGCAGATTAAGATCTGAATAAAAAATGAATATATATCATTCATAAAGACAAGCCTTCATTTAGTTTGCATTCATCACAATATTTGTGTAAGATTTCCGATAAAGAAATGTTGATGCCTTTCTTGGCTAAGCAATAACATTTGATGAATGCTAGTATAAATTTCAATGCCTCTCATAGCTAATTTATAGTACAGTTATGATGAAAGTCGCTGCTTTGTATCAAATGCATTGATTACAAACTCAAAGTTTTTTCAAGAGTGTATGAACCACGGATGATGAATCATGACAGCTTGGGGGCATCCGTTCATTTGACATACATACAAGTGTAAGTATCGTCCATTCTGTGTACTGCTGTGAAGCATCATAGGAGTGTTAAAAGGCAAACATCTGCCCCCGATTTCTCGAAGCAAACTTAAGTCTGAGTTTTGACTTAAGTTCGAGTTTTTACTCAAATAGAGAAAATGCATTTAGCAGAATGAACTGAAATTGATATTAAACTCAAACATACTAGACAATTTGAGTTTGGAGGATGGATTGCTTAAGTTGTTTGGGCTTTTTTATTTTAAAAATGCAGTTGAGTTAAAAATTCAGCGTTTCAAATTGTCAAACTCAGTTTGAAATTTGAGTAAAAACTTAAGTTTGTTTCGAGAAATCGGGGCCTGATGACTACCCACAAGCAGGTGTGTCTAAACTGCTACCTGGTATCTTCGGGTGAGAGGAAAAAAGCCAAACCACAAAGCCTCTAACTATGTTACCCATGTTGGAAATCAAGGCATGGTGACTGAACAACTTAACAACGATGCCAACAAAATGATGGATAGTTCTACTGCTATGACACTACTATGAATATAAGGAAAATTGTATCCTGTTCATTTCTATTCAATAATGTCAACAGAGTATTAAGCAAGCTCTTCAACAACTACTGACTGAGTTTGATTTTTAGCAATATTCCAGCAACATCATGGCAGGGGAAACCAGAAATGGGCTTCAGTCACTGTACCCACTCCAACAACTACAGGACAAGTATGTCTGTATGTGACTCAGTACCTGCTGTTGCTTCTTCTTCAGCCCTGCTTCTGTTTCCTTCGTCTTCTCAACAAACAGTTTGTCCAGGTAGCCTCCCTTCATCCAGCCATTGAACAACGTCTTCCCATAGTGGTAACCCACGTCCTGGGGAGGAGACACACGTAAAATCATGAGGGGAGGAGTGAGTGAGAGTATAGATTCTACAAGCTTAAATATTTAGAGACCTGTTTCAATTTTAAGTCCACAAATTTGATATCAGGCTTTCCTCCCACATCAGTAAAATTCAGAGTGAGTGAGTTACTTTTACGCCACACTCAGCAATATTCCAGCTATATGGCAACGATCTATTAATAATCGAATCTGGACCAGACAATCCAGTGATCAACAGCATGAGCATCTTTCTGCGCAATTGGGAACCGATGACACGTGTCTACCAAGTCAGCGAGCCTGACCACCCGATCCCGTTAGCCGCCTCTTACGACAAGCATGGGTTACTGAAGATATATTAATTCAGAAGGTGACAATGTTTAGGTCATTGGGAAGTCCGTCATAAAAATCATTCCGCTCCCCCAAACATCAATTATTTTTTTCTGATTTCTAGTAGTCTGATGTAGTAGTCTTGCATTTTATAATATCTAACCCTAATTCCATATAAACAATCTCCCATGCATGACACAGGTTATAATGAGTAGACCAAGTCAACCAAATCAAACAACATGGCCACAGAATCTCTAGTTGCTTTTAACTATTGACATCAGTTAGGGGACTTGGGAGTCTAAATGGGTAGAATGAATTAATCGTATCACCAACTCACCGAGATATCATCGTAGCTACCAAACTGAAGAGTACCATACTTGTCAATGGGAGGTCTCATGTATTCACAGTAGTCGCTGCTCTTGACCAGGTCGAGTTGTCTCACACATGACACGTACGCAAGCCGGGACTGGATCTCTGTCATGTCCAGCACCTGAGGGGAGAGCATGGGGTCATATACATAATGTTACAGCAATCGAATGCATTCATCACTTCATCACAGCCTCACACAGCAAATCTATTCTCTTGGGTTTTGGTTGCATTTTGAAGAATGAATATAACATATTAAACATAGTCTTAAACAGAACCATTTTTTAGATGTGAACATCTAAATGTCAAGTTAATGCCTCCATCAAGTTACCAATGGGTGATGAAGAAAACAATCACATTCTATGTCCAGTTGGTACTCACTTCATTCATGGACACAAAGGTCCAGCACAGCCTTCAAGATTATTACACTTGTGACCATGCACATGTGTGTATAAGTGGCTGTTTGTACTATTCAGGACTTACGCCAGCTAAACAGTGCCAGGCCACTGACACAGTATGCTCCATACTGACATGGTTACAAGACTCTGACACATTATACTGTCTGGGACAGGCAGCACATACTTTATCCATTCCATGCCAAGCATAAGGAAGTGTAACAACAAGAGACACCTTTTAATGTCAAATTTCAATGTCCTTACGTGTGACACCTTTTAATGTCTTTATGTGTGTTTTGCAGTGGAATGAAAACAAAAATTCTAATTATTTAATCCAAATTTTATTTTCCTACAATTGTAAATTTATATATTCACTAACGAATGCAAGATACTGTACGAAAGCTTCTATACCTTGCTGTGGTCCGATCATGACCAAATCATCTCAAACACGTCAAAATATCCAACATCTAACACACAGATGTCTGTTAGACGCAACCCTCTAACATTCTAACACTAATCTCTAATTCTCCAACACCAATCTCTTAACACTCTGTCCGAAGTATCACGAAATACGTTTATATAACAAACATTCATGGAATTTTTGTGCAGTAGCATTTCCGCGAAGCGTTGTGTTTGCGCATGTACAACATTGTCCGAGAACAAAACACAACATCCATAGGATAACTGAACGTCCCAAAACGCAACTGTTCTATAACCTTAACCGAGAACATGCTCATCTGGTGTCCGTGGTCGCAGTGTTTCGGATATTCCATGAACTGTTCTTCAGTCCAATGTGTGACATCTTTTAATGTCTTTAGGTGTGACACCTTAGCTTTTAATGTCTTTAGGAGTGACACCTTTCATTGTCCTTAGGTGTGACACCTTTTAATGTCCTAAGGTGTGACACCTTTTAATGCCTTTAGGAGTGACACCTTCTCATGTCTTTAGGTGTGACACCTTTTAATGTCTTTAGGAGTGACACTTTTTATTGTCCTTCGGTGTGACACCTTTTAATGTCCTTAGGAGCAACACCTTTTAATGTCCTTAGGAGTGACAAGGCTTGGGCTCACCAACATACTGCTGTCCTTGCAAAAACTCTATGTACCAGAACACAGACATTTGATTTACTTGGGCAAATAATTGAAATTTTAACTATAAATTGTATATTTATATACTTATCCTATCTCACGACTTGCACCTCTCTCTCTTCATTCGACCATGAGTGGAAACGAATTAAAACTTTGCTCAAGACCTACCTTGCCCCTCTCCCCGTGCTGTGCATGCCTTCCTGTCTCAGTCGTGCTCACTAGTCCATGACAGCACGAGGCATGCGCAGTCCTCACCCACGTGATCACCTCACATACTCATTCTCGATCTTGGAGCCATAAAAGGACAAAACCGGAACGGTGGTAATCTATGTAGTGGGGAGGTAGGGAGGGACTTTATCGCGTGAGATAGGATAAGTATATAAATATAATTTATAGTTAAAATTTTCAAATTTTTAAACTTATCCTATCTCACGACTTGCACTTATCCCACGGTAGGAAGGTGGGTCATAGATTACCGAAATTCAGCGATAACAGCTAGTGTTACGCCCAAACAACCGTGAGGAAGCAACTGCAAGGTAGGGCAATAACTACCAAGTTACTACGTCATGAGGGTTAGGTCGAACCCATTGACTAACTAAGCACAATTGCTCCCAGGGACCGAGATTCCCGAGCAATGTGGTGTTCAGTCACTACCTTCACTAAGTGAAAGGGCGTGGCTTAACGAAAGTGTAATCAGTCGCATCGCCACGATTTCAAAGGTACCCCGTGAGTAAAAGTCAAACGACTGGTATCGGGCCAGCCCCTGCTTGAAACAACCCCCACAGACACCGTCCCGAGGAGGGTGAAAGAGAAATTGAATCGGTAAAACTCACAATTTTAACGTTCAGTACCACAACATCATCTTATGACTTCCATTACTTACCACAATAAGATCACATAGATGTGTATAGGCACTTAGGAGCATGAACGCTACGAAGTGTAACACTGGGAAGGACTCACTTCACTGACTTAATTACTCCGTGGAGCAGAGGACAGTAAGTGAGGTGGCGACTCTCTGTAGTCTCAAACAAATGAAAGGAGAAAATCTAAATCCCGGAAGAAATAAAGGCGTAAATCAGAAAAAGTTTTTCAGATTTATTCAGATTAATACACAAGCAGAAACGATCGCGACTTGGGATCAACTGCACAGTGGGATCCATATAGCATCGGAGCACAAGGAAGTTCATTATCTGCGATGTTGTGCCGCTGATAACTGCTGGGCAGGACGAGTGGTCCAAACTGATGAAGGCCTTGAATATCCGTCACCGACACATCTCTGAGGTAATGAGACGAAAATACCATGTCAGATCGCCAAAAACACCCCTCCATTATGGCAGTTAACGAACAGTTGCTATGCAACGCCATAGTAGAAGCCAAAGCCCTGGTTTCATGAGGGTTGACTGCCGTGGGGTGGTGGCAAACCGGCAAAAGTGTAGGCTCGTAGTATTGTAGCTCGTAGCCAATATGAGAGTGTTGTGCGAGAAACTTCCGCTTGGAAGCCGTGAACAAGGGTATAAATAGTCTCTCTACGCAGACGGGCGGCTCTTGCGATGCTTTAAGGTAAATGCGAAGTGCTCTGACTGGACAAAGAGACAGATCTTCAACATCTGCTGGACCCAATATGGTAGACAAAGGCGGGATTGTAAAAAGACGATCAGGTTGACCCGGCAACTGTTTTTTTGCAATAAAATCCCAGCGCAATCCCAACAATACCTTGCCATGTCTACTCTGTTCAAAACGGACACGGTTGATATCTAGAGCATGCAGTTCTGATATACGTGCGCTGTGGCCAAGGCAATAAGAAAAAGGTCTTGAATGAAACTTGTTCAAACTCCTTGTCCTGTAAGGGTTCATAATGCTCGGACACTAAGTGGTGCAGGACCACGGATAAGTCCCAAGCTGGTGGATCGAAATTTCCTGGATTGGTCGGCTAGCTTAAAAGAACGAAGCAAATGCAGTTCGGTACCGTGAAACCTTCGCATTGCCAGAAGTCGGTGGCTAGGACCGAATTAAGAGCAGCAAGTAGGTGGCTAAAGTGGAACCCTTGAGTTTCCTTTGTAGCCCGCAAATGTTGTTAATATTCCGCAACAACCTGGGGCTGGAAGCAGTAGTAGGGAAGCGATCCCTCTGACCCGACAATAACATTCAAATTTCTTCCACTTATCGTCATACAAAGAACGGGTAGACGTACGATGAGCTGCAGTGATAGCTGAGGCCACTCTGTGAGAATAACCTTTGGCTATTAGTGATTTCTGCAAATGTGTCATATGTGAAGATTGAACGTCTGTGGTGACTCGTGATACACCGAAAGCGCGATGAACTAGTAGGTCGTCCCGCGCGGGGAAGAGGAATGCTGCTTGACTGACTAGACTTTTAGGCCGGCGAACCAACTTCTTGCTGGCCAAAATGGCGCTACCAAAAGTAGTTGTACTTTGTTGGTTAACAGAATTTTCTGAATGACCTTGTGAAGTAGAGCCGGAGGTGGAAACGCATAAGCGTTGAGGCCTTCCCAAAAGGAATGGCCAGGGTCGTGATCCCAAGCTAGTGGATCTGGAATTGGAGATCTGAATCTCGGCAGTTGGGAGTTGAACCGAGTGGCAAACAGGTCGACACTCGGTCGAGATCGGGTAAATTATCGTCCGAAAAATCTTGGGCAGGAATTGCCACTCTGTGTAGGCGACGGGCGACTGGAGCGAGACAGAGTGTAGCGGCAATCATGTTCTTTGTTCGGGGAATGTGCCTGGCTCTTGCGACGATGTTGAGAGAATCTATCAGAAGATAGAAACGAAACGTCCCACTGTAGGAGTGCTGCTGAACCCGTCGACCCTAGGTGATTGATGTACCACACTACCGTCCGAGTTGTTGGACTGTATCAGCAGGTGAGACATCTTGAGTAGAGCCGCCCAGTGCTGAATCGCCAGTAATACTGCCTTGAACTCCAGAATGTTGATGTGGAGTGACTTGTCTTCGGACGACCACTGCCCTGCCACTTGATGCTGAAGGAAGTGGGTGCCCCAACCTTCTAGAGAGGCCCACAAACAACTGATGGGTTGGACTGAAGGGCACCAAAGAGACGCCGGGCGCAAACATTCTGTACGTTGAGCCACCAACGTAAATTGGGCGTAGTTCCCTGGGTAACCGAATCAACACCTGAGGGTTGTTGGTTTGAAGATGAGGGTGCAGAAATAACTGAAGTGGGCTAAGCTGCAGTTGACCTCTGTAAGTCAGAGCCTGAGCTGATCGTTAAGACGCCCAGCAACTCCTGCCACTGGCGTAGAGTTCTGGGGTGATCCAAGGCTAGCGGAACCAGGCGCTGAATTTTGGTCCACCTGTCCTGGGGAACAAACAACTTGGCTTGTTCTGTGTCGAAGATTGCTCCTATGAACTGAAGTCTGCGAGTCGGTGTTAACTCCGACTTCTCAGAATTGAGGAGCCACCCTAACTGTTTGAGCAGCCTGATGGTGAACTCCCCGATGGATTTGAAGAACGTTTGGATCCTGTTGTGCCTGAATACAATCGTCGATATATAGCTTTCGAAAGTCACTCCCGAGAATGTAGGAAACTGCTGATGGGTTTGGTCACCCGAGTAAAAAGCCACGGGCCGTAGAGATTCCAAATGGAAGGACGTTCCATTGGTAGTGATGGCCCCCGAAGGTGAACCTTAGATATTTCCGATGATCTGGGTGAATCGGAATGTGCAGGTATGCGTCTTGAAGATCGAGGGATATAAGGAAATCCCCTTTCTTCAGAATTGAGCGGAGAAGACTGACCGATACCATGCGAAAATGAGGTGGTTGTTGCAGGAATCGAGCGTTGAATGTCTTCATATTGAAGATGAGGCGCAACTTGCTGGAGTTTTTCTTTGGCACCAGAAAAATCGGGGAGTAAAATCCTGGAGTTATGCACACCTGATCTAGGTGTTCTATTGCATGTTTCTCCAGTAGAGTTTGGATTGTAGTCGAAAGGACTGCAGCCCGATCCAGAGGATATATTTGCTGCAAGGGTTGAGTGGTGAGGGGTGGATCCCCGACCACAGGCAGTCGATAGCCGTGAATGAGAGTCATTGTGACAAAAGGATCTCCCAGAACCTCCCAGTTGGGAGCAAACAGACCTAACCTCCTTCCTACAGGGGAATCGAACACTGGAACCACCGGATCCGGCAGAACCAATCCGAGCTCTGACTTCCGTGAGTCACTGTTTGGACTGTCTATGTCCAGTTCCCGTCGGGTCGATAGGGCGGCGTGATCTGCGGAACCACGAAATGGCCTCCTGCCTCTGCCACGTGCTTGAGAAGGCGCCGTGCCTTTCATACAGTCCCGGAGGTCTGGGTTGGAAGGGGTAATTGTGCGGTTGGCGATGCCGAAATAGAATCTTGAGCTGAATTTTTGCAATTCCAAGAGATCAACAGATACTTGAAATTGGTTAAGACGGTCCACCTTGGATGCGATTTCAGCAATAGCCCCACTGAACACCGTATCCCCCGACCATGGTTGACGAAATAATTCAGCCTTGAATCTATCTTCCCATGAGGAGAAATTCAACGGACCCCGTCGCCGTATTGCAAGTAAATAGCCAAAAATGAGACAATTGCTCGAAGACCACCTGGAATTGGTCTAAAATCAGAGTCATACTACCCCTGATGTATGCGTCCTGGTCCGTATATGCATGATTGACCGCCTCCGCCAACAGCGTCAACAGCTGAAATAATGCAGCTAATGGCAGGGATAGCATGGCGAACCGTAGTATCTAAGTGAGCCAATTCCCTGTCTTCCACCAAATACGGCGAAATGGAACGCTTGCCACAGACCATGGAAATGTCATCATCGACTGAAGGTGCCGCTGACCAAAGTTTGGTCACACCATGAGTATGTGCCGTGGATGGTCTGAACCTTGGAGCAGACAAACCATCCTTCGTCCTTCTAAGCTTGTTGAAAGCTGCGTCAAGAGAAGAAGGCAATTGTTGAAGACATGGACGCAAAGGAAGTGTGATACTGGCAACATCTCTATTAGTCATGGCATAAGACGTGGCCAAATCATCTGGAGATTTACTAAGAGGTAGCTGAAGTTTTTCAACTATCCAGGCTAACACGTGAGCCGGTTCAACAACATCAAAACTGCCATCAGGAGTGGAGATGTCTGACTGCCCAGGTGAAGGGAAAGTAGTCTGAGATCGAGTCCGATCCCTCAAATTCCCAGAACGATTATTGCTAAGTACGCCAGACGATTGTTGAACATGTGAGGACGAAAGTGACACTGATTCCAAGCAGACGTAACGGCACGAAGCATGGTATCTAAATCCGGCTGGAGCGGAATCAATAGCAGGATTCCAAGACTCAGCAATAATCTGTGACCGGGCAAAATAGAAGTGGAAAGGCGTGAAGGTGAACGCTGATCCACTGAAGCGTAACGCTGCCTAGCAGGTGAAACCACCCGTACAGAACGGCGTTGCTGATGTGTACTATCATGTAAAGGCACTGACCGTAAGACGTTACTAGCACTAGGCTGGCTAGAGGGGATATTCTGATTCCCCTGAGGTGAATGAGACCGATTCCTATTATCCCTCTGACGCAAAGACACCAAGCGGTTAGGTGAACCGGATGGAAATGGCGAACCACTTCGACTAGGTGAGACTGAACGACTACGGGAATCAAAACGCTGTGGTGAGTCGAAACGGAAACACCTGTTGAGGTGAATTGAGTCGGTAATGTGAACCGGTTCGTCCTGGTGAACCTATTTGAGTACATGAAACAGTACGGCCAGAGGAACCCATTCGACTACGTGAATCAGTTCGATCAACTGAACTCATTCGAGGAAGTTCTGGTGAGCCGGCTGGGCCGTGTGAGCCGGTTCGGCCTGGTGAACCGGCTTGGCTGTGTGAGCCGGCTCGGCCGTGTGAGCCGGTTCGGTAAGGTGAGCCGGTTCGGCTATGTGAGTCTGCTCGGCTGTGTGAGCCGGCTCGACGTTGTGAGTCGGTTCGGCAGGGTGAGCCGGTTCGGCAGGGTGAGCCGGTTCGGCGGGGTGAGCCGGCTCGGTGGGGTGAGCCGGCTCGGGAAAGTGAACGAGACCTAGAACGACTCTTGCCAGCCGTGGAAGAACGCATTCGAACCTTCGCACCAGATGGTGATTCAACTCGTGTGGGTGAATTGTTCCGGTTAGATGAAACCGTGGAATTAGGAGAACGGGTACGTTCCAACCGCACCGATCCCCGCTTTGACGATGAATGCTTAGAAGTTCTCGAAGTCTGTGATTGTTCCCGAAGAAACAGACCTACGAGATAATGTAGATCGCAGGTCTGGCGTAGAAGAAATATCGGTCATTACCACCCTGGTACGCTCCTGAGAACGTAACCTGGGTGAGGGAAGCTCCCCTAAAAGCCTTCTAACGTTCTCAGATAAATAGGAATCTGACGAAGCGTCCATAAAATCTTCGTCAGGCAAGACGGGCGATTGAGAACGGTGAGCAGTGAGGGTGGGGCGATCTAAGCATTGTTTCTTAGCGGGAGATGGACCAGACCCCGCAGAATTAGTCCTAGCCCTATCTGCCAAACGTCTGGCACAAGCACGTTTGTAAGATTTAAACGCCTCATTAGACAGACCTGAACACTTAGGACAGCGTGTGTCCCAGTCACAAACACCCACACAATCAACACACGATGTGTGAGGGTCCCATGCTGAAAATACTTTATTACAACGGGCGCAAAACTTCCGTTTACTGGCCTTAACAGGCTTAACCATTTTGAGCAATTCTCAGACGAAAATTTTTCACGTCCACTCAGTGGAGCGACAAGAAAGAGAATGAGTATGTGAGGTGATCACGTGGGTGAGGACTGCGCATGCCTCGTGCTGTCATGGACTAGTGAGCACGACTGAGACAGGAAGGCATGCACAGCACGGGGAGAGGGGCAAGGTAGGTCTTGAGCAAAGTTTTAATTCGTTTCCACTCATGGTCGAATGAAGAGAGAGAGGTGCAAGTCGTGAGATAGGATAAGTTTAAAAAATTTGTGATTTAAGTAGCAACCTTCATCCTCAACCACGTAGCCTGGGTTTAACTTAAACTCACCTGAGCTGATTCCATCAAATATAACATAACCTTTCACAGGTATAATCATCTAAAACATACCCCAAGCTCTATTTTCACAGGGGCTTGAGGAGAAGTACCCTATCTGTAACACTGAATTTCGAACTGGAAACTGATGCTGCTATATCTTACCTTGACATTCTCCGTCCATGGATTCCACCGTTTCCATAGTAACCACCATCCTGAAACCTGGTCCCCATAGTTGAGGAAGTTGGACTCCTCCTCACTGCCGACGTCCAGGGCGAGGGTTGTCTGGGCCCCGAATGCCCTCATCACATCAGCTGGAGGGAAACCATCAGTTCAGTAGGAGGTACATCAGTGTACACACTCTTGGGATCTTATTGTCTGTTTCTTGTTGATAAATGCGGTACTTAACAGTAATATAGCTATATGACAACGGCCTGTTAATAATCAAGTCTGGCTAAAACCATGTGACTGATAGCATGACCAACACTCCACACCATCACGATGTGATGACACAAGTGAAGTGAGTCACTAAGACAACCGGATCCTTTTGGACACTTCTCACAACAAATGCCAAATACTTTTAGGGATTTTAGAGACACAACACTGAGTGAGTGAGTGACTTAAGTTTTATGCCAAACTCAGCAATATTCCAGCTACATGGCAGCGGTCTGTAAATAATCGAATCTGGACCAGACAATCCAGTGATCAACAGCATGAGCATCAATCTACGCAACTGGGATACGATGGCATGTGTCAACCAAATCAGCGAGCCTGACCACCCGATCCCGTTAGTCGCCTCTTACGACAAGCATGGGTTACTGAAGATCAATATTCTAACCCGGACATTCACGGGGAAGAGACACAACAGATCAATTGAAGTCAAATTATAGTTTGGGATTGTAACATATGAATATTTGTTTGAGACCATATTTGCATGTTTACCTGGAACATTGTTGACATATCCTCCGTCCAGTAAGTGGTGACCATCCATAGGGTCACACATCGGGGGCAGGTAGCCAGACAGCGACATGGAAGCTCGCACATACCGCCACAAACTACCTGTACACACAATACACTTGTATTCAACTAATAATATGGTTAATGATTCACAGAAAGTTAGATATATACTTTAGAATAATAATTCCAGACATTCCGAATTGGTTCAGTTTAGGGTTGTCACCCCTGCATCATGTGGATATTGAAGCCACATCATTTGTGCTGATCAACTCTCAACTCTGTGTGAACCTGTGACAGGTTGATGGTTACACTGTTAACAACTGCTTCATACTGGCAGCAATAGGTTCCAAATATCACAATGCTTCTGCCAAAACTGTATGAGTTGTCATCTATGACAAGGAGATGCTTGGTACACCTCATTTCCTTCTATCCTGGGGCGGTGGGGTAGTCTAGTGGTTAAAGCGTTGGCTCGTCATGCCGAAGACCCGGGTTCGAATCCCCACATGGGTACAATCAGTGAAGCCCATTTCCTGATGTCCCCCGGTTCGAATCCCCACATGCCGTGATATTGCTGGAATATTGCTAAAAGCGGCGTAAAACCAAACTCAGTCAGTCAGTCAGTCCTTCTATCCTACATGTGGAGTGTTAAGTGGAGCTGTGTTGGAGACAGACCTGTAGTGTGTATCCTCATGCTGGAGTTGGAGATGTCGGTGGTCACACAGAAGTATGGCAGCCACAGGTCCTCCACCTGCCTGTCCTTGAACACCTGTTCAATACATCGGTTGAAGGCACCACCTGTCAACATGGTAAATATACTCTGGTTGAAAGCATCTTTTGATATGCCCACCTGACCAACATTGTAAATAAGCACTGGTTGAAAGCACCACCTGACAAAATGGTAAGTATGTATACATCACCTGTCAACTTCAGTTTATCTAGATTTTATATATCTAGCTTACTTCATCTTTCTAGCTGACTATCTAGTCTACTGTCTATCTAGATGACTACCACATAAATAGCTAAGGAGTTAATTAACTACAATCTATTTAGCTGACAACACTTAATTTGGCTGGTTATTCCTTAGAATGGCTATCAAGCTAGCTACCTATCTAGCTGAGTATAATATATAGAGAATACTACACGAGGCCTCATTACATAAGAATTATACAAAACGAGTGTCCTTCCTATGGCATCCTATTAAAATTGTAGAATGAATGAATTCACGTGTTTGTAAGGAATGAGAAAGTAGTCCTGACACAAAGTAACCTAACTGAGAGGTCATCGGTTAGCTGACTATATGGGTAACAACATATATTGCTGACTATATAGGTAACAACATATCTCGCTGACAATATAGGTAACAATCTAGCTGACTATATCTAAGGTAACAACATATCTAGCTGACTATATGGGTAACAACATATATTGCTGACTATATATGTAACAACATATCTCGCTGACCATATAGGTAACAACATATCTCGCTGATCATATAGGTAACAACATATCTAGCTGACAATATAGGTAACAACATATCTCGCTGACCATATATGTAACAACATATCTCGCTGACAATATAGGTATCAACAAATCTAGCTGACTATATCTAAGGTAACAACATATCTAGCTGACTATATCTAAGGTAACAACATATCTTGCTGACCATATAGGTAACAACATATCTAGCTGACTATATAGGTAAATGTAACAACATATCTAGCTGACTATATAGGTAACAACTATATAGCTGACTAACAACATATCTAGCTGACTATATAGGTAACAACATATCTCGCTGACCATATAGGTAACAACATATCTAGCTGACCATATAGGTAACAACATATCTAGCTGACTATATAGGTAACAACATATCTAGCTGACTATATAGGTAACAACATATCTAACTGACCATATAGGTAACAACATATCTAGTTGACTATATCTAAGGTAACAACATATCTAGCTGACTATATAGGTAACAACATATCTAGCTGACTATATCTAAGGTAACAACATATCTAGCTGACTATATAGGTAACAACATATCTCGCTGACCATATAGGTAACAACATATCTAGCTGACTATATCTAACGTAACAACATATCTCGCTGACTATATCTAAGGTAACAACATATCTAACTGACTATATCTAAGGTAACAACATATCTCGCTGACCATATAGGTAACAACATACCTAGCTCACTACAGTCTATCTAGCTGACCATATATCTAGCTGGTATGTTAACTACATACCATCTATCTACCTCAGTATAATCTCACCTGTAAACATTGAGGTAACTGGATATGTCAGATCAATAATTTTCTTCCAGAGAGAGGTCATGTCCTGCAAATAAAACACATTTATAGCAGAAATGTTATTTGTTCAAAAGATTCAGGTTAATGGAAAAAAATCTCAATATATTTGATTTGATTGTACTGACAACTTCACTGTGAGCAAATTGCTGGTCTGATATAGCTGTTGATAGACTGGAATTTACCAAGATGAAGTATGAGTTGAAATATTTGACTGAAGGTGTTATACTGTACACATTAAGTTAAAGGACACTGAGCTATGTCAAAGTCTGACTCTAGTTGCTCTGTCATGTGTGGCAGGGACAGCATGCTATATGTGGGTGTCCATTAAGTTCTGTTGAGAAGCATAAAGGCTGTTGTTTTGTAAATGCGGTGATTTACAGTAATTTCACAATAGTCAAAATGGCCTCCTGACACATGCACATCATTGACACTGGTGGTTATGGCTACTCTCTGCTTGTAAGTACTCAAAATCTACCAAGTTCTTAGCTCTTTTATTCCAAATCCTTTTACGATAAGTTGCCTGTTAACAATCTCAACACATTTACAAAGAAATTGGTTCAGATGTTTTAGAGTCCTGCATTAAGTATATGACCAAATGATCATGACCAATGTTTTGTCAACACCAGACAGTGAAACAACTCACCATTGCCCACTCTCTGGCCCGCTGTGTGAAGCGAGTGTAGTTCTGCTCCTCACACCAGAGGGCGCCGATGAAAGATCCCATACTTGTCCCCCCGACCATGTCTATGGGGATACCCGCTTCTGTGATCGCCTTGATCATACCAACATGAGACAGTCCTCTGAGGGAAAAACACATTCAACAGTTACATAAAACATCACTGATTCATTGATGAAGGTAACGAAACTTGACCAATGAAATAAAGTATGTATATGGGGAAACTTATCCTTGTATTACGCAGACTCTCACCTGGATCTTCCATCAACTCTATAATCCCTCCCATGTTCACCTTACCAAACCCTCACCTCCTTAATCCCACCCGTTCTCACCTGAGTCCTCTCTCATCACTTCAAACAACCCCATTCTCACCTGGCTGCTCTTCCACCAATTTAAACTTCCCCATTCTCACCTGGCTCATCTCATTAAACAATCCTCACCTGATTCCTCTCTCATCACCCCATTCTCACCTGACACCTCTTCTACCACTCTAAACAACCCCATTCTCACCTGACACCTCTTCTACCACTTTAAACAACTCCATTCTCACCTGAATCACCCCCAACCTTTTCAAACAACTCCATTCTCACCTGAATCCTCACCCACCTCCTCAAACAACACCATTTCTCCCCTTGGCCTTCATCTCTTTAAACAACGCTATTCTCACCTGAATCGTCTTCCACCTCCTCAAACAACTCCATTCTCACCTGATTCATCACCCATCTCTTCAAACAACTCCATTCTCACCTGAATTGTCTCCCACCTCCTCAAACAACACCCTGTCTCCCCTTGGCCTTCATCTCTTTAAACAACTCTATGCTCACCTGAATCGTCTCCCACCTCCTCAAACAACTCCATTCTCACCTGATTCGTCACCCACCTCTTCAAACAACTCCATTCCCACCTGAATCGTCTCCCACCTCCTCAAACAACACCATTTCTCCCCTTGGCCTTCATCTCTTTAAACAACTCTATTCTCACCTGAATCGTCTCCCACCTCCTCAAACAACTCCATTCTCACCTGATTCATCACCCACCTCTTCAAACAACTCCATTCTCACCTGAATCGTCTCCCACCTCCTCAAACAACACCATTTCTCCCCTTGGCCTTCATCTCTTCAAACAACTCCATTCTCACTTGAATCGTCTCCCACCTCCTCAAACAACACCATTTCTCCCCTTGGCCTTCATCTCTTTAAACAACTCTATTCTCACCTGAATCGTCTCCCACCTCCTCAAACAACTCCATTCTCACCTGATTCATCACCCACCTCTTCAAACAACTCCATTCTCACCTGAATTGTCTCCCACCTCCTCAAACAACACCATTTCTCCCCTTGGCCTTCATCTCTTTAAACAACTCTATGCTCACCTGAATCATCTCCCACCTCCTCAAACAACTCCATTCTCACCTGATTCGTCACCCACCTCTTCAAACAACTCCATTCCCACCTGAATCGTCTCCCACCTCCTCAAACAACACCATTTCTCCCCTTGGCCTTCATCTCTTTAAACAACTCTATTCTCACCTGAATCGTCTCCCACCTCCTCAAACAACTCCATTCTCACCTGATTCGTCACCCACCTCTTCAAACAACTCCATTCTCACCTGAATCGTCTCCCACCGCCTCAAACAACACCATTTCTCAGACGGGCCTTCATCTCCTTAAACAACTCAATTCTCACCTGGCTCCTCCACCACCCAGTACCAGGCCAATGGACGTTCCTGTGAGATAGCGAGCCAATCTGGAGAAGTCCTTCTGTCGATGTGGCGGCTTCTCAAACAGTTTGTCATACATATCAAGCTGAAACAAACCCATGACATGGGCCTTGTATTCATTCAGAATACAGTATGTATACACTCATGCTTCATTCCAAGTACATAGTAAGCAAAGTCAAAGTTAACACAAGATACAATTTACGAATTATACACACTATTCTTTGACAAAATTTACAAAGAAGTGCCATGACTGACTGACTGACTGAGTTTGGTTTTACGCCGCTTTTAGCAATATTCTTAGCAATATCACGGCGGGGGACACCAGAAATGGGCTTCACACATTGTGCCCATGTGGATATTCGAACCCGGGTCTTCGGCGTGACGAGCCAACGCTCTAACCATTAGGCTACCCCACCACCCCGGAGAGCCATGAAAAGAAACTTAATTCAAGAACACCAGCAACTTTCACTTTCAGAGATTTTGTCATAGTCCTTAACCTTACAAGCTTTCTAAATCTTTATAGTAGTGCTGAGGTAGCCTGGTGGTTAAAGCGTTCACTTGTCATGCTGAAGACCCAGGTTTGAGTCCCAACATGGGCACTATGTGTGAAGCCCATTTGTGGGGTCTCCAGCCGTGATATTGCAAAAATAGGCATAAAACTAAACTCACTCACACTAAATCTTTTTTTACGGAACAAATATCAGACTAAATATTATTTAACTGGACAAAACTAACACATTTCACATTTGATGTCATACTTACCCTCTTCTGTAGAGGTTTTTTACTGAAGACCCTGGGTGGACAGCGGATATGATGATGATGTGAGCACCAGTCCCGAGCATTGAGCCAGTCTGCAGTTCGCCTCGGAGTCTCTGCATCCTCTCTGTGCAGCAACACCAACTCCTTCTGGGCCCTGATGGCGATTCCTTCCACCTCCTTCTCAACCTGGCGACATGGCAGCATGAGGAGTTTAGTCACTGCCATGGCAACAGTATACACTAGCGGATAGCTACCATTAACTCCAGTTAGGTCAATATTTTAAAAAGAAGGCAAGCATTAGGGGTGCAACATTTCACCATCTGGTTGGTCATCCCAACTGCTTTAATAATGAAAGGATAGTAATCTTAGCTTCACTGTGTATCATATTGAGACCTCACTATGTATTGTTCAGTCTTCTGTACAATCTTCCTTGTAAACCATCCCGCCATCCCATGTATTCTCTACTGTATATCTGTACCTCTTATGCCGAGTATCCCCGCCTGAGTGTAATAAATGTTCTGTTCTGTTCCTAAAACTGTTGTGGGCATGTTCCAATGTGTATGCATCATTCAAGCTTGCAGGTCTTAATTTCTAAAACATCATTTAATGATGCCTGTACATTGTGTTCAGATTGTACTGGTCAATGCTAAGCAAATTTGTTGAATTGAGACTGGTTAAAAAATGGAATCAAACCCAGGAAATCACTGTAATTATTTTTTCAGAGAAAACAAATACCGTGAAAAATCTGGGAAATGTCTATCACAAATATTCTGTCTCTACCTTGATATAACTAATCTCACTTGCATACATACTGTCTTGTGATACCAAGTGTATTGTATTGGTCTATGGCAACACTTTCAATTACAGGAAAATCTACACATGCTAAAGACTTCATCGCTGATCTCAACTGGTCACTTACAGTCCCCACACGGTGTGGTCATGGTCAGCTTGAGCCACAATGAGGATACAGTCAGCCTGCCTGATACAGTTCTTGGTCCACCTTGTCATGGTGTAGTCACACTGATACAGCACCATACGATGAATGTCTTCCTGCTGACCCAGCCAGCTGAACAGCCGGAACTCATTCACACTGAAAACACCAACAAGCACACTTAGAGTGAGTGAGTGAGTGAGTGAGAGAGTATGGTTTTACGCCGCTTTTAGCAATATTCTAGCAATATCACGGCGGGGGACACCAGAAATGGGCTTCACACATTATACCCATGTGGGGAATCGAACCCGGGTCTTTGGTGTGATGAGCGAACGCTTTAACCACTAGGCTACCCCACCGCTTGATGTCGAATATGAAGAAAATCCAATGAACGGTTCTTGAGGTATCTTGCTGACAAGCTTAACATGCAGCTTAACATGCTGAAATCTTCAGAGTGTCGCTATGACCTTGAGAATTAAGTGAAGGTCAACAGAATCGACTGAGCCCTGCATCTTCCGCAGACAAAGCTTGGTGTTGAATATGAAGAAAATCCAGTGAACGGTTCTTGAGATATCTCGCTGACAAAGGTAAAAACGTTAAAGTCCCCTTGTGACCTTGAAATGAAGGTAAAGGTCACTAAACCTGACTGAGACATTTCTTTTACTGTGAGTGAGTGAGTGAGTATGGTTTTATGCCGCTTTTAGCAATATTCCAGCAACATCACGGCGGGGGACACCAGAAATGGGCTTCACACATTGTGCCCATGTGGGGATTCGAACCTGGGTTTCGGCATGACGAGCCATCGCTTTAACCATTAGGCTACCCCACCGCCCCTCTTTTACTGTGATGAACCTAGGTACCAAATATGAAATAATCCAGTCAACGGTTCTTAAGATATTCCAATTCGTACGTACGTATACGTTCGGACGAACGGAGCCTAATACTATATCCCCCGCTTCGCGCTAAAAGTGAGGCGGGGGATAATAATAATTTAACCAAACCTGAAGAGGTTTTAAATTCTTCGAAGAGAGTCGTCCTTGGGGTACATATTATGCATTTTCCGAGCTGAAAATGTCCTGTGACAGTTGTATCAATGTTTTTGAATAAAATATTGTACAATAAATAAAAATCTTTTTATTTATTATACGGCCCCAACCCCGTGGAGTTACCTCCCGTTACGCATGCTCACCAACTGGGTAAGCACCTAGGCCCGTATCATCATTCCTTCTGCTGAATAAATCAGTGAACAGAATTGCGGGGAGGCGGGAGGCCATACCCCAAGGACGACTCTCTTCGAAGAATTTAAATCCTCTTCAGGTTTGGTTAATTCTTCTTCATAGAGATCGTCCTTGGGGTACATATTATGCATAAACACAGACTCCCAAAGACCGGAGGCCAGGGAGGAGGGAATTCTGTCAAAGCACACACAAATAGCGATCGTTAATTGAATAATGTAACAGACGCCATAATCACTCACCTGTCACATGTCCCGGTTTACGCTTCCGCGAGAGGCATTATGGGAGGGTAACTGACAGGGAGGAATTGTACTCAGAGACGACCTCGCAGGTTAGCATAAGAATTCGCACATGGTGCGAATGTAAACAAAAACCCACCCACCTTGTGTCGATTAGAGAGCACCGGAGGGGAAAAACGCTCACTACCGACCAGAATCTCCGAAGAGGATCGAAAGGAGGTTATACACCCAGCAGCGGATAGGTCAATAAAAACACAGTATTGAACAGCAGCGTCAACAAAACCAATGAACCAAGACTCACTCGGTCAGGGTGGCAGGACACTGTCCACTGGAGAGAACAGAACGGCCAAAGCTCGCACGATTACGGGAATGTGTATCGAGCTGATAGTGCCGAATAAACGTGCTAGGCCGGCTCCAAATAGCGGCAGAGCAGATCTCTTCAATGGGGAGTGCCGATGCAAAAGCTTTTGATGCGGCTACTGCCCTGACCGAGTGAGCCTTCAACCCCTCAGGGGGAGGCTTGCCCTTAGCCTGATACGCAGCACAAATAGCCGAGACGAGCCAGCGAGACAAAGTCTGCTTGCTCGCCGGCAGCCCAGCCTTCCCGCCACCTTAACAGCAGAACAGATGGGTACCCGTACGGATCCCTCGTGTTCGTTTGATATAGACCTTGAGAGTCTTACGGACATCCAACGGGTGAGTGCTCGTAGGAGAGGTCCCCGAAGTGGAAGGCTGGGTAAGAGTAGGATGTTCGATAGGAGCTGTCACATGGAAAGCGTGATCGACCTTCGGGCGGTAAGTATCCGGGAGGCGAATACTGACACGATCAGTGTGGAACACAGTCAGCGCCGGGTCGGACGACATAGCATGTAAGTCTCCAACCCTATGCCCAGATGTTACCGCCACCAGAAATACAGCCTTCCAGGTTAACAACTGAATGGAAATAGCCGATAGGTGTGAGAACATAGGACCGGACAGCCAATCGAGCACAATTGACAAATCCCAAGGTGGGCTGGTTCGCCTGACAGCAGGTCGAACCCGATCCACGCCAGCTAAAAAGCGCTGTACAAGAGGGTGCTGCCCCAGAAGAGCACCATCGACAGGGGTGTGAAAAGTGGAAATAGCGGTGGAGTAGCCACGAATGGTCGAAGCCGCCAGGCCTTCTTCCAAACGAGCTTGCAAAAACTCCAATACTCGGACTAAATCCGCAGAAAAGGGATCTGCAATCCCCCTATCTGAACACCAGCGCGCATAGCGGGACCACCTATCCTCGTACTGAACGTTTGTCGAATCCCTCCTCGAAGCCAGAATTGTGTCTGCAACTGCTGCAGGAATTCCGCGTGCTTCGAGGTTAGACCTGACAGAGGCCAAGCCACCCACTGAATCCTTGGATTGGGGTGTGGCGCGCCATTCTGAGTGAGAATGTCCGGTCGCAAAGGTAATAGAACAGGAGGCTGAGCCAGAAACCTGAGAATTACCGGAAACCAGCTCTGTGATGGCCAAAGCGGTGCCAGTAGCACAAGCAGTCGAGCTGGCTGGGTTGACAGCTGTGAGAGGACACGGGGAATGAGTGGTAACGGCGGGAACGCCCAGAGCACTTTGCCCGTCCAATCCAGCAGGAAGGCGTCGGCAGCCAACGCCCTCGGGTCCGGTATTCGAGAGCAGAACACGGGTGTCTGATTCGTCCCGCCGGACGCAAACAGATCCACCTGGAACGACCCGTACAACTGGGAGATAACTCCAAATATCTGCCGGTCAAGCATCCACTCGTGCGGGGCCAGGATCCTGCGAGAGAGAGTGTCTGCTCGCACGTTCTCCAGCCCCGGGAGATAAACAGGGAGTACCTGACAATCGCACTGGTCGCACCAGAGGAGAAAGTCCCATGTCTCCCGGAGGAGCTCTCGGGACACCGTGCCGCCTTGCTTCAGGATGTACGACATGGCCGTCTGGTTGTCCAACTGAAGACGAACCACCTGGCCCTGGACATGCTCTCGGAAGCGCTCAAAAACCAACCGCACAGCTCTCAGTTCCAACACGTTGATGTGAAGGTGGGCTTCGGCTTCGGACCAGAGTCCGGACACCGACAGACTGCCCAGAACACCCCCCCAGCATCGGTCTGAACTGTAAGAGCTGGCGTCGGGATTTCCAAGGGGACCCCCCTGGTGAGATTCCCGACATTGGTCCACCACTGAAGGTGAGGAGACAACCACCCGGGGACTGTGGACTCCGCTCCAGGTCCTCCGAGTGAGCCCACAGACTCGCCAAAGCTAGCTGTATAGGGCGCATCTTCAGCCGCGCCCGCCACACTACAGAGATCGTCGCCGCCATATGGCCCAGTAGACGGAGTCAAGTCCGTGCTGGTGCCTGGGGCTGGGAGAGGAACGAAGACACCATCTCCCGTACTCTGGTGACCCGGTCGGGCGACAAGGAAAAAAGATCCTTGTGTGTTTGGAACCTTGCCCCGAGAAAAACCAAGTCCTGGGTGGGTACCAGGTCGGATTTCTTGAGGTTGATGATCCACCCCAGTCGAACTAGAATGTCTATCACCTTGTGAGTAGAATCTAGGCTCGCTGGCTGTGTTAGTGCACCGAGCAACCAGTCGTCGAGGTAAGGGTACCAACGCCTTCCTTGCGAGCGAGCGAGGGTAGCCGGGACTAACATGAGCTTGGTGAACACCCCGGGGGGAGTGGATGTGCCAAAGGGGAGCACCGTGAATTGGTAACACATCCCGTCGTAAGAGAACCGAAGGTACTGCTTGAACGATGGATGTATGGGCACATGCAGATACGCATCCTTGAGGTCGATTGACGTGAGCCAATCGCCGGGCTGAACAGAGGAGATCACCGAGCGCAGTGTCTCCATCTTGAAGGATGGAACTTCGAGCATGCGATTCAACCCCTTGAGGTTGAGAATGGGACGGAACCCGCCGTCTTTCTTCGGAACGAGGAAGTACGTGGAGTAAAATCCCGCCTGTTCCTCGCCTGGTGGTATGCGCTCGATAGCGGACTTGTCCAGCAAAGCCTGGACTTTGTCGCGCAGTATGTCCGCCCTTGCCTGACATGACGGCACCGGAGTGCGGCGTATGCCGGTGAAGTCTGGCGGACCTCGCTTCCACAGTGGTAGATGGCCGACACTGACGGTGGACAGCACCCAAGGGTTGCTGGTAGCCTTCTCCCACTCCGGCAGGAATAGAGAGAGGCGGCCTCCCACTGGGACGGTGGGTAAGAGCGCGTGAGTGGTCCCGAGTAGCGGAGCTGACTGGGAGTGACACACGTCCGGTTCTACAGCCTGATGGGTTAACGGGAGGTCGGGGCAGACCTCCCGCGCCCGCGAAAAGGCTGGGAGCCAGTCGAAGAGGACTGCTCTTTGCCCTTACCCTTGGCGGGACGGTTCCTCCACCTACCCCTGCCTAGCGGCCGAAGCCAGCCAGCAGACTCGGGTGTAGGCTGCACCCCGGCGGAGGAAGTCGGAACGGGAGCGCGGGTGCGAGAAGCCTGCGGGTGCACCAACAAGGCCTTGGAGTCCTTGAAGGAGGTAGCTGCAGCGGCAGCCTCCCGGATGACCTGCTGTGCCCCAGGAAACAGCGTCGCTCCCAGACGGTATGGGAGGGCCAGCAAGGTCTGCTGTGTAGCAGCCGAGTACCGAGACTTCGACAGCCACAGCTTGCGCATCCCCATGACTGCGCACAGAGAAACTTCTCCAGCGTGCCCCTCCGCCTCCAGGGCCGACCTCTGGATCGAGGAGAGGTAGGCCTCGTGGACCACTACCCGCAGCTGCTGCATAGCGTTCCGGTAGACCTCCTCGTAGGTCCGGTACGCATGCCGCAGGGGAACGCCCGCGAGGGCAAAAAGTGGTGTCAAACGCCCTTGCCTGGCAGCCGGAGCTGCTCCGGAGGAAGCCGAGCCTCCCCCCAGGGTGACCGAAGTGAAAACAGATTCGTCGACCATTGGTATAGCGAACAGGGAATCTTCCCGCAGCTGGTACCTCCGGACAAGCTCAGGCAAGTCGAAACGGAGACGGGACCCAGACAGGAGGGGATCGACCACGTCCTGCACCAAGGACGGCAGAATGCGGAGCAGCGTCTGCATAGGCTGCCGAGGGGCAAACGCCTCGCCTGGCAAGCGGAACTCAGTCGAGTCCGAGCGGCTGGTAGGCACCGCGGCCTGGGGAAGGAACTCGGCAATGCGCTGCCAGACTTCCCTCAGAGCCGACGAAAAACGGAAGGCACCCTCCTGCTCCTCAACCTCCCCAGTGTCCATGGACTCGTCGCCCTAGCCCGAGTCCGAGGCTGGGTCTCCTCGCGAAGAGGACCCGAACCCCGACCCGGTGGGCGGCCTAGCACCAGTCACAGAGGAGAGGGAAGAACAGACAGAGCGCCCCGCGTCAGCACCCGCCATCACGCACGAACCCCGGTCCCAAGACGTTGGAGGCAGACCAGGCAGAACTGGTGCCTCCGCTCTCATGGGGCGGGACGGCGCAGGGACCGGAACCCCAGGAATCCTCAACGGACCCTGCGCCAACTCCGAGAGGGGGACTGGGAGCGAAGCAGCCGAGGCGTCCGGACCCGAAGCCAGAGGCAACCGATCGACAGACGCCTCCAGGCCGAGGGATCGAGCCGGGCTCGGCGATCCCACCCCCAGACTCTCCGTCCCCTGCTCCGAGTGGGCGAGGAACTCCTGGCGGAGACCTCCAACCGACTCGTGAACAAGGGACTTCACCGAGTCCATGTGCTGCTGGAATAACTGAGTAATCAGAGACATATCAAATCCCGCTACTAGGAGCAGTGGAAGGCGACTGACTGCGCGACTTTCTGCCTTTACTTTTAGGCTTTTTTGCTTTGGACGGGGGGACCTGGGTCAATTCCCCTCCCGCCTCACGCATCTCCCTATAGAATAGGAAGTCGGCCGCCCGTCTCTTCTGGGCCCGGGGGGAGAAACCCATACAGATCTCGCAATTGTCCGGGGTATGGCCGGTTTTCTCAAGGCACACGATACACTTATCATGGCGGTCGGCCCGGGGGATACTTTGCCCGCAGACCGAACATGAAGAAAACGCCTGAAAGCAAACACGCAAGCATGTAGCTAGCAGCGGACCAGCAGCCTAAGATACACGTAGAAACATTGAAAAATACATGAATGCGACCACGGGAAGAAATAGTTGGTTCAAACGCAATATAACAACCACGTGGCACGCTAAACTTCCCGCCATGGAATAGCAACACGTGCGTAAACCACGGGAAAGTGCTAGCGTAAATAATTAATACAAAGTCACAATTATGAAACAACCGACCGCAAAGCTTTACTGTTCCTTTCAAGGACAAAATAAAGACCATACATACAGGTGGTGGCGTCTCAGACATTATTCTCTTTAGTTCACAAGAGTACAGCTCTGCTCGACACATGCGTCTTTACAAGGCAGTGACAGCAGAAGGAATGATGATACGGGCCTAGGTGCTTACCCAGTTGGTGCGCATGCTAACGGGAGGTAACTCCGGGGGTGGGGCCGTATAATAAATAAAAGATTTCTATTTATTGTACAATATTTTATTCAAAAACATTGATACAACTGTCACAGGACATTTTCAGCTCGGAAAATGCATAATATGTACCCCAAGGACGATCTCTATGAAGAAGAATTAGATGATGCTGAAAATCCAGGATAAAGCCAATCCTACCACATTGAAGCGTGTAACTCAGCACAGCCAAAGATTTAATCTCTTTCATCTTCCAAACATACTGCACCTTATAACCCTAATAACATTAAAAACATTCAAGCTGAATTCTAGCTTGGCTAACTTACATCATTATCCCTATCAATAAAAATCATTGTGCATCCATAACCAAGTAGATCAAGACTGCAGATTTACCTGTCCAGGGCCGAGCTTCCTAGCCGAGTTTTGATGATGTCACTTGACAAGCGAGTTGTCAGACCTGTTACAAGATATAAAATCAGCTGATTATTTCTGTACTGCTTGTCTTGTACTCAGTATGAATCACCAGTGTGATCTATACAGTGACATACTGAGGTAGGTAAGCAGGTTTACAGATTCCTAATAATGGTGGAATAGGCAAGGGTGAAATGTCGCATTCGTGACTGAGTGAGTGAGTTTAGTTTTACGCTGCTTTTAGCAATATTCCAGCAATATCAAGGCGGGGAGACCAGAAATGGACTTCACATTTTGTGCCCATGTGGGGAATCGAACCCGGGCCTTCGGCGTGGCAAGTGAACGCTTTAACCACTAAGCTACCCCACCGCCCAGCATTCATGACAACTGCACTTATATAACTGGGACATGTGTGTGTGCTGGGATGCTTGTACTAGTCCGGACTAATGCTGGTTTTATAGTACTATTCCACGGAGATACCATGCCATAGTTCAACATGGATTCCCCCCATTCAGTATACAGACTCCCAACCAACCAGTGCTTGTTTGATCTTACTGCAGGGGAGGCTACATCGGTTACATCGGTCTGACATCGCAAGGCAATCAAACCAATTACTTCTCTTTCAAGTATGACAGGATCAGCATTGAAAAGGAAATGACATTCCTATTACTATAAACAATAACACTGAAGGTAAAATCTAGTTTTGAGCAATTGCATGTACTTACCGATAGCACTGAGGTTGTGCTGTAACTCCAAGGTGAAGTTGGTCAGGGGAACGTCATCTGAAGCTGGCAACACAGCTACAGTTGCCAGGTTACACACTGATCGACTCTCTAAACCAGGGTTGTCAGCTGTGTAGTTATGAAACAATAACATGAATGTAGTGTCACGTTTATATCTCCATCTGATACAACATCCATCTATTGTAAATCCTGTTTCCTGGCCACTGGGGCAGATCCACCCTTTGGCATCCATGACATCATTGCAAAAACACTTACAAAATACTTAAGAACACTAAAATCCTCTACACTACGGTATTGTAACATTGATGGGATTATGAACTGTGTAAAATATGACATGATGGTTAGTGTGATATGTCCTGAATCTGGAATCTAACTTAACACAACCAACAGTCTAGAGCTCTGTGTTGCAACAAGTCAACATCAAAATCATTTCTATACCGAGCAGCACAGACATACCACAACTGGGAATAAAACAGACATCTAATCCTCCACTGCTCCTCTAATTGGCAGAAAGGCTTTTGGAGAGTACTGTTAGAACAATGATGGTGTGTCGAACGAGTTACATGGACTCACTTTACAAGAAAGAGCTCTTTTTGTAAATGTTGTAACTTTGTTATTTATCCTTGTAGAGAATCATGGTGTGCAATACAGAACATGGAATATCAAATGTTATGAAACGTATACATGTCTGACATGAAATCCTGTCATACAGCATGTGCAGTGAAACCTGGTTAGTTCACATCCTCCAATCAAACCTCACCTTTATGCATACAAAATGAAATCATCTGTATCTACAGGGGTCGATTTAAGGAAATGAAACCTACTTGCACCCAGTGCAACCTAAGGCAATCACCTTGTTGCACCAAACAAAAACAGGCTGCACCTCCTGCTTTTACACTGTGTATAATGCTTGAGTTTTGGTAAATACGGTTTAGAAACGTATTATAACAAAAGAAATCTGTAGTTATCTTACTTCCTAAACTTTCATGAGCAGTAATTCCTTCAGTCACTGTTCCTACAATAATCAGAGTCACTGTTCCAAGTCAGTTCCTTTTTCTGTTTTCCAGCTGAAGTGTGTTCTTTGAACACAAAATATTAACATACACTGGGTGCAAGTTGATATACATGAGAAGTTGCATTTAGCAGTTACAGGTTGCACCAGTGCAAGTTCTAAATGCTTAAATCGAGCCCTGATCTATGTCTCAATAATCTTGAAATGTGGACAATTTCACTGAAAACACTACTGTGTGCAATGTCAGGATTCTGTGTAGCTGCTTGGTATGTCCCTCTATATCTACTTACTTCTGAAGGGCATAGATATGTGAGCACCGAGTGTGTTCCGACTCTGCAGGTTTCCCAGAATCCTCTGGCCCAGTAGGTGAATAAGTCGAGTGACAATCTGCGGATACTTCCTTTTGATAAGATTCAGCAGCTCTGAGGGCATTTTAGCTACCTCCGTGTCTCTGAAAGTGAGTCAGTTACAAATTAGGTGATAATACAGTACTATGTAATTTCAGACTAATATATACATCACTTGCGGAATCCAATCCAATTCAAAATGTTGGCCTATGGTGCCAAGATGACCACAAGGGACTCTAAGTGCCTGACAGTGTTGCCAGTGATCTGTGACTATTACCTGACGGCCATGACGGTGGTGGCCCTCTCTGTCTGTGTGAGGACCTCAACGATGCCGACCAGCTCCCCACGACCGTACCTCCTCAACAAGCTCCTTCTTGCCACCTAGGAGTGTTATCACCGAACGCAGACGCCCCGTCAACACAATGAACACACTCTCTGAATTGTCACCTTGTCTGGGAACCAAGAGAGAACAGGTAAACATTGACAATGGGTAATTTAGGCCTCACAGATGTTTCTGAGCAGTTCTCTCACATCTATGTCATGTACCTTTTATGTATAGTCCTGTTGATAACGTACAACAAAGAAAAGAAATCTTACTCCTTTTAAACCAAAAGAGACATACAAAATGAAACCAACTTAATCTAATACTGCTGAGAAACAAATTAAATGTATCAGATCCGCATTGAAGACCTTTGTACTCATGAAGATGTAGCTGACAGTGATCTTCCATAAAATATATATTTCACTACCTAACTCCTCTAAAATAGTTTCCTTCTATGCATGGATCAGATTTCACGTGAACAGTTGCAAATAGACCATGCACGGACATATCGGGTCACACCTGAACAATGCCTTTCCTGCTTCAGTCATCTGCCAGTCCAGAGCAAAATCAATCTGACGTACAAATGGTGTCATTCTCTTCACTGTTGTGTGAGCAGCGTTCAGAACAACAAACGGCTCCTCCCTCATGATGCTAGAAACAGCAGACGCCATGTTGTTAGTGCAGCACAGCAGCAAGGAGCAAGCTGCACTTGGAATAATGCATATTTTAATGACAATTTCAATTGATTGCTTACAGAAAGTTTAACATTCATACTGAAATATACTGAAACAGTTTCAAAGCATATCATTTTTAGGGATATATGTATGTTTTCTCTTGCTATGACTGGCAGGTTGACTCACATGTAGAAGTCTTCCTTGGAGATAGAGACCACCCTAGAGTCTGTCTTGGCCTTGATGGAGAAGAGTGACGGCTCTCCTGTCAACACAGCCAGCGTCCCGACAATCTCCCCGGGGTCGGCGGTGAACAATATAGCCTGGACACAACAGCAACAACATACAGTCTCCATGTAAGTGAAGTGACGTGAGGGTGAGGTGAGGTGAAATTGGGTTTAACGTCGTGCTTGAGAATATTTCGCTCATATGACGACGTGCATGCGTGTGTATGTGTATGTGCGGCTGCTTGTACTAGCCCAGACTGAAGCTGGTTTTATAGTGCTAGCCCACTGAGATACCATGCCGCAGTGAAGCATGAATACCCCACTCAGACACATTATACTGACTCCGAGCCGACCAGTCCTTGTTGTACCCATTAATGCCGAGCGCCAGGCAGGGACCAACAAGTACCATATTTTAACGTCTTTTGGTATGATGCGGTCGGGGATCGAACCCGCGACCTTCCGCTCTCCGGGCGGACGCTCTAACCACTACACCACAGAGGCGGTCAAGTGAAGGAGAGAGGGGGATAGTCAGTGAATATTGTTCACAATCAACAGTAAGCAAATCCACATTCACCAAAATTTCAGCTACATGCATAAAATCTGACCACAATGCTATGCATATATCCAATCAGTAACACATTCCTGTATATCCCATCAGCAACACATAACGTTACACACCCTATCCAGCAACACATTATTGTGTATTCCATCATGAAAGTATCCTGGATAATGTATGACAATGCATGACTCTGGTTTGTGCTAAAATCACAATCCAATCACATCATTGTTTATAAGAAACAGTTTTCCCACCTCCGTCATAGTCTACAATAAGATCACAAAATATACAAATTTTAAACTAGTAAAGGAATGTGGTGGACAATTCTCTTTCACATATGTACAACAAGCATTGTCACTGAGGTGACATAATCCCCCGCCACAAAATATCAAATCAAAATGTAATTTTTCAAGTAAAATTGATATTTTATACTTATCCTGACTCATGATCTTTTGCATATCTCCCTTTCCTATGTGAATGGTAGTGGAACACTTGAATCCTTTGAAGTTCCCGAAGCGGACGTAAAAATACACTCACCCAAGAGTTACCTCCCTTTTCCCGCGTAAACAGTCATGTGACCAGCCTTACTTGTCACTCTCTCCTGATTTTTCTGCCTATGCACTTGGATCTACTGTGAAATCCAAAGTGTTTCCAGCGGGGAGGTTGGGAGGGCTCGACCTCATGAGGCATGATAAAATATCAATTTTACTTGAAAAATTACATGTCTTTCTTATCCTGACTCATGATCTTTTGCTTATAGAATCCTTCAGATTGGTGGTGGGTCACTCCACTTCCTGGATTCATCAGCTGTCCTTAGATACATCCTGTATCCCCCCCATGGGAACTGCATTGATCCTATTCTTCCATCTTCCGTTATAACTCGGGGGTACCACTTTCTTGTCTTACTTCCATCTCAGACAAGTTGAATCATGTTGATTCATGTGGCTTAATATATACTAGTATCTTCTTTTTACTAGATATCTATAACAACCCATAGATTATGATAAGATCTTTATCATAAATGAGTTGCGACCCCTTAATGTACAGGTAAGATCTTTACCCGTACAGGGTCTTTAATCACTCATGCTAGTCTGTCCTAGACTGTGCGCATGGACTTTCAAACTAATACTTTTCCTTAGTAAAAGTTATCAACAAGTCAACGTGATAAAGGGTGAGATTTTCCAACTCAACACCTTTGTGGAGCCGTTAGTTGCTGTGCTACAACGAGAGGCCCAAATTGGTGAATGCCGGAGACGTCTTTGGAGGCTATATCTCGGAGGTAGTGGTTGTCAAACACTGTGTCCGACTTCCAAAAGCAGCCCTCCATAATTGCTGATATAGAGCAATTTCCATGCAGAGCTAGTGTTGATGCCAGTCCTCTGACTTTGTGTGGGTTGGAAGCTCTTGGAGGTTCTAGTCCTGCTCTCAATATAACAGCTCTCATCCAGAACGATATTGTCATTCTTGAGACTTCTGCTGATGTCTCTGTAGATAACAGGATGAACAGGCTCTTGAGTTTGCGTCTCCTTGTTTTAGTCTTTTGAAGATATATCTTCAGGGCTCTGACCGGACACAAGGCTAAGTCCTGTGTATCCTCTGGTCCGAGGATAGTGGATAACGCTGGTACATGGAACTGTCTATCTGGTTGACCAGGTAGTTGGTTCTTGGCAATAAAGTCCCATTTAAGTCGTAAATGTACTGCAGCATGTTGCCCCGTGTCAATCTAGTTCGAGCTGCCGTGGCTAGTGCAAGCAGGAACAGAGTCTTCTGTGTAAGCAGCTCGAAGGTAGTCTGATCTAGAGGTTTGTAGGCATCACTCGTGACATGACGAAGAATTACATTCAGATCCCAGTCCGGAGCTCTGAATTTCTTTTGCTGGTCCTCCAGTTTAAAGATCTCAGCAGAGCAAGTAATTCTGGTACTTTCGTCAACTTGATGCCTGTCTTCATGGTGATCACTGTACTGATGACAGCGAGATACGTGGATAATGTCGAACCTTTCAGATGTCTAGTATGTCTAAGATGACATAGGTATGCCGCCACTTGAGGATGAGTAGCTTTCATAGCAATGAAGCCTTTCCGCCTTGCATAAGTCTCAGGTCTATGCATGGGGATCCTATTTCCCTTATGATGAGCCGGAATGTCCGGATAGAACGTCCATTCTGTAGGTGACAGGTGCAGGAATGTCCGGATAGAACGTCTGCTAGCACATTCTTGGCTCCCTGAATGTGATACGCCTCTATCCAGCTGTTTGCATCCTCCGTGATGTCGAACAACTGGAATGTGAGCTGAAGTAGGCTTGGTGATTTTGTTGATCCTTGCCGATTTATGGAGAATGCCACTGTAGAGTTGTCCGTGTGGACCATCAGCATTCTGTTGATCAGCGAACTTCGACCATAGCTGTACGGCGTTGATCACAGCTTTCATTTCTAGCAGACTGATGTGAAGATCTTGTTCTGTTTTGGACCACTTTCCTGATGCAAATTGGTTGTTGAGATGCGTACCCCATCCCTGTAGCGATGCATCACCGTAAAGATGTGTGTCGAAGGCCGGCTCTTGTAAATAGGTTCCTCCACAGACATTCGACCTGTGAGTCCACCATAGCAGGTACCTTATGAGGTTGTCTGGTAGCGAGATAAGGTCGACACTGTCCAGATGTTTTACCAGGAATCGTTGCAACGGCGTGAGTTGTAATCTTCCTGTGCGAGTCAAGTCCTGCGCTGAGGTTAGCAGACCGAGTAGACATCATGGCTTGTTTCTTGACCCAACGATCTTCTGGGACCACAATTCGATTCTGTGTTGATAATTCTTATTCCCAGCAATTGAAGATCTTGTTTAATTCTAACTCCAACTTCATCAGGTTCACTAGCCATCCTAGTTGCAGGAGCAACTTAATTGTGAAGTTCAGCTGCTGTCTGAGTTGATTGGCACTTTGAAGAACCTGTATGCCGTCGTCCAGATAACCGGCACTGCGTAGACCTTGATGATGCAGATAGGTGCCGATAGGCTTGGTTATTCGTATGAATAATCATAGAGAGGATGATATTCCAAACAGTAGGACGTTCCATTGGAAGTGCTAACCTCTGATTGGAAGTGATGATACATTATTCTTCCCCTTATATACGCAGGCGATCTGTGTTGATCAGCATACATCGAATCGTTGTCTATTTATCGCAAGGCAGGCTCCAGTGTAGTATCGCAGGGGACAGGTACTCATACCGGCTTTTATCAGCGACAACTTCCAAGATAAACCTTGTTTATCCTGCTGTCAATGCTAGACATCTATTAAGATTCCCATGATGATAACAGGCCGTAGTTGTATACTCTTTTCAAGGCTGTCGGTGAAGTATTCCCCCGTACAACGGGTTTGTTTACAAGTCAGTAAACTTGCTGGCGCCTGCTCTGTCAGTAGGGGGCATTAACTGACGTGGACCAATCAGCTTCCAAGCATGACATCACTGGTGTTGTAGCAAGTTGGCCTTCATAAAATCTGGTGCAATAGTTGGTTGAGTAAAAGCGCGCATAGTTCTACGCTGCTCATATAAACCTCTTGTATAAGGGTTCCTCCAAGTATAAAACCTTGTGCAGTGATATTAATCACGTATTTCCATTGTGGATAATATAAGCCAGCATGATGAAGGAGGCTGTCGAGACATATGTCTGTATGGATCTTGAAGAATACCGATGTTAAATCTAGTTGATAGGATATAACATCCTAACCCCCTCGCTGAGTGACGAGTGTTAATAATGTCATCTGCACGTCCGTTCAAGGATTCTTGAAGGCATTGTTAACCTTAAGCCCTTTACGAAGGTCGCCTTGAGGTTCTCCAGTACTTGAGATATCGGCTTCATAGGTGATATCATATTGGAGTTGAAGTCATCAGCGTATATGCAGTACGTCTTTGTTGGGTTGGAGTGAGTGAGTGAACGACAATATCCGCAGGCCATCTGCTACCCAGGATAAAACCTCCGTATCCGTGTAGATGAAGATATTCCTCTCACCAAGTAGGTTGTCGTCTGAAACTGAACCTACTACAGGTGTAAGGTTCGTGCAGGTTGTAGAGTTGTGCAGGCTGTAAACTGTAGAGATCGCACATGTTGTTGATCTTTTAATCATTGCTTCGTTTTATTCAGCTGTATGGTAATAGAGTCGACGTCATCATCCTGCCTGTTGATTTAAGGGTTCGTTAACCCTGTACATGTCTGTGTTGCTGTTATCTGCCTGTATATCTGAGAGTTCTCGAACCTTGTAGATGTCTGCAGCTTTCTCAAAAGCTGTGCGTAGTTTAGAAGGTACCTTGGATATAGGTTCAATCGGAGGAATAGTCACTGAGTCAAAGTCGTCGTTGCACATCTTATATGTGTAGACTTCATCCACATCCTAAGAAGGAGACTCCAAGTTCAATCCATTGGCTACCCAAGCTGTAACCTCTGAGTCGGGGAAGATGAAGTCGGCTTGTTCATCAGATATATCTCGGTCCGTAGAACTATGCCTCCGCGAATCAGCCTTCTGCGAACCTGTATCCCTAGAGTCATCCCTTCTCGAACCTCCATCTCTTGCATCATCCTTCCGCGAACCTCTATCTCTAGATTTCTCCCTTCGCGAACATCTATCTTGTGAGACCTCCCTTCGCGAACCTCTGTCTCTAGATACAACTCTTTGCGAAACCTCTGTCTCGTGAATCCTCTCTTTGCGAACCTCTGTCTCATGATAACTCTCTTCGCGAACATCTATCTCGAGATCCATCCCACGAGTTGAATCCTGTCTCCGCAAACTTGGTTCTCGCGAACGTCTGTGAGAGATGTGTGATCTCGATCTAGAGCGGCTTGGTCTTGGAGATGGATCCTTAGGTGTTCTCAAACGTTGAGGGTTCACAGATGTAGATTTCGTAGATCTATGAGGAGTAGTATGTTCATGCAGGTCTGAGGGTTTGCGCACATTGTCAGCAGATGAGAGGTTCTGTCGAGCCGTCGCCTCTTCCTCGAACCTATCACGGCGATCATCTGGTTAGTGAATTGCCTCATGAATTCATCTGGATCAAAGTTCTGCGTTGATTGCAGCTGCTGCGATGGAGATGAAGCGTTTGCTAATGCTGAGGTGATGTGTGCTTCAACTTCACTACGTTGAGAAGTTGGTGGTTGGTCGTCAAACAGCTGGCCAGCTGTTGTAGTTGCAGGAGACGATCTAGTAGTCGTGGAGGTTGACTGCGTCGCCGATCTAGTAGGTCTGATAGGTACTTCAGGCAGAAGTATCGGTGGTTCATCAAACACGTCTGCTTCATGAGGTGGGGTGATCTCCTCATTAACCGACCTCTGATGAGTTGACTTGCTTGGTTGCGTTTATATCGATGCTGATCTAGTTATAGATGCCCAATTCTGCGTTGTGGATGATGAAGATGTCTTCTTCTTACTCTGAGAGGGCGTCAACTCCGTCGTAGCAGACCTCTTCTTAGACCCCGTAACAGACGACTGCCCCTGCAACGTACTCGACATAGCACTTGAATTATGTTTCTCTGCAGTAGCATACGGTTACCGGCTTGATCAGGTTTATCAACCATGAATTGTGATGAATTCCTCACCCGATCCATCGCACGTCTATAGATGTAAGACAAATATTGATTAGATTGTAAATTTGATAAACCAATGCAATATGTACAACGCAAGGTGGAAGAACATGGCTTAATGCATGACGGGCACTGGGGGTGAGGATCAGCCACTGACAGCTGGTACATGCAAAAACTGAAAGATTTCGTGAAAAGTAAATAAGTTACATTACGATGAAAATATGTCAGAAAATACAAAGAAATTCTTCAAAATTTTACATATAATACAACCTAGTTATAGCCAAATACCATACATAGTGTAATTTCGATAAATAGGATCTCAATATAAAGGATATATGCCTTAGACGGGACTCCAGTGCTCGCCCAACCATACGCTTGGGCGAAAAGGGAGAGAGTGACAAGTATGGCTGGTCACATGACTGTTTACGCGGGAAAAGGTAGGTAACTCGTGGGTGAGTGTATTTTACGTCCGCTTCGGGAACTTCAAAGGATTCAAGTGTTCCACTACCATTCACATAGGAAAGGGAGATAAGCAAAACATCATGAGTCAGGATAAGAAAAATCTTAAAAAGTGCAGGTTGTAGTTTGAGATGAAGTGAAATGTCAACAAAAGCATGACCAGTCAAGGTGCACCTTCCCAAGATAATGCTTTGTGTCAAATATGAAGACAATCCAGTGAATGGTTTTTGAGATATCTTGCTGACAAGCTTAACGTGCAGGTTTACATGCTGAAATCTTCAAAGTGTCGCTGTGACCTTGACAATTAAGTGAAGGTTACCAAAATCGACTGAGCCCTGCGCCTTCCCAAGATGTAGCTTGGTGTTGAATATGAAGAAAATCCAGTGAACGGTTTTTGAGATATCTTGCTGACAAGGGTAAAACGTCCCCTTGTGACCTTGAAATGAAGGTCAAGGTCACCAAACCTGACTAGGACCTTTTGAACACTGTGATGAACCTAGGTACCAAATATGAAAAGTATCTAGTATCAGTTCTAAAGCTATTCCAATTCATACCTACGTAAGGAGCCTAATACTAAACGTGCAGCAGGGGATAATCAACCAACAGAAGACCAAGCAGGCACAGCCTCAGGGAGCCATGACTTACCTCCCTTGTCTCCTCCCCAACTATCTGTTGCAGCATGTGCAGCGTCCCAGTCACTACAAACACCAGGCTGGCATCCTGGAATAGAACCACAGTCAGTACCTGACACAGGTGTAGTTAATTACAAGCAGTTTCCAAAATAAGGACAAGGGTCCCTGAGCATAACCATTATGTCCATTTAATTCAGAGTTGACTCCAACATCTACAGAAGATGATTTTTACATACAAAGTCAGTTCTTATGAACACATGTCAACCAAGTATAATTTCGCAGACCACTTTGAAATCATTAACACCAAAAATCAACAGTAGACAAGAGTAAAATATCAGTAAAATCTGTAACACAAGTGCAGCCAATTCTATACCCTGGATAGCAATGTGAGATATAATACTGGTTGAATGCCTACAAAGTGATATGTGACACGGTGCTGGTTTGGTGTCCACATAGTGACATAGGATATCTTCTTGCTTCTAACACCACCTCTGTCAACAGCACATACATGTTAACCACATCCATGACACTGGTTACAGATATGAACCTCAGCTGGGTGATGGATTACCCTCAGCAGGGACACACTTCCATCAGTAGCTAAGATGACATTACACATAGTCTGCAGTTACACTAAGTAAGGGTTAAAGTAGAGCTGAGGAGCCCACACCTGACAACCTTATCTACACAGCACTGTCCCTGAAGTGTCCTTTCAGCACTGGAACAACTTAACATACCTGAGTCAATCCTCAACATACCTGATCTCCTTGCCAACCCAGCATAGTCAATGCCTCGACATACCTGATCTCCTTGCCTACCCAGCATAGTCAATGCCTCGACATACCTGATCTCCTTGCCAACACAGCATAGTCAATGCCTCGACATACCTGATCTCCTTGCCTACACAGCATAGTCAATGCCTCTCCTTGACATACCTGATCTCCGACATACCTGATCTCCTTGCCTAACACAGCATAGTCAATGCCTCGACATACCTGATCTCCTTGCCTACCAGCATAGTCAATGCCTAGACAATGCCTCCTTGCCAACATACCTCAATGCCTCCTTTGCCTACACAGCATAGTCAATGCCTCGACATACCTGATCTCCTTGCCTACACAGCATAGTCAATGCCTTGACATACCTGATCTCCTTGCACAGCATAGTCACACAGCCTGATCTCCTTGCCTACACAATGCCTCGACATACCTGATCTCCTTGCCTACACAGCATAGTCAATGCCTCGACATACCTGATCTCCTTGCCTACACAGCATAGTCAATGCCTCGACATACCTGATCTCCTTGCCTACACAGTATAGTCAATGCCTCGTACATACCTGATCTCCTTGCCTACCAGCATAGTCAATGCCTTGACATACCTGATCTCCTTGCCTGCCCAGCATAGTCAATGCCTTGACATACCTGATCTCCTTGCCTACACAGCATAGTCAATGCCTCGACATACCTGATCTCCTTGCCTACACAGTATAGTCAATGCCTTGACATACCTGATCTCCTTGCCTACACAGTATAGTCAATGCCTTGACATACCTGATCTCCTTGCCTACACAGCATAGTCAATGCCTCGACATACCTGATCTCCTTGCCTACACAGTATAGTCAATGCCTTGACATACCTGATCTCCTTGCCTACACAGTATAGTCAATGGCTGTACTCCCTTGTCTACAAAGCGCTGTACCGGCCTTGACATACTGTAGACTCAGGTGACCCTCCAAAATACTTGGATCCTGCAACAAAGAGACATGATTTACTGCTGTAGGCTTCTTTATAAACAATGAGTTGGCAAATGGAGAAAACCATCTCCCAATCTACAGGGTTTGTGAAACCCCATACCATGTAGGTTATATTGGATTGTACCACTAGCAAACTTTAGCTGACTTCAGAATGATAGGAAAGTACAATACAGTTACAGAGTATGAATAGGGGTCATTGAGACCACATGATCTGAATCTGTTGACAAGAAGTATCCAATCAAATTGTAACCTACCTGATTCAACACAATGACATATACACAGTATTGAACCATGCTACAAAAATAGCAGGAAGGTACAAAGAATGATATGGAAGTCTTTCATAATCCTAAGTCAAAGAAAAAAGATCTAGCAGACTAGTTTGTTCAATAATTGTTGACAAAGGGGAGTTAGTTCATTCAGTTGAGTGGTGTTTCAGGGGAGGTCAACGGAATCTGTACAATATCACTAGTCAAAGAAAAAAGATCTAGCAGACTGATTTGATAAATTGTTCAATAATTGTTGACAAAAGGGAGTAACTAGTTCATTCTGTTGAGTGGTGTTTCAGGTGAGGTCAACAGAATGCCATGTACAATATCACTGAGAGTATGGTGATAATCTCTACTGTCATTCATACTGTTTACACTGATTAACTACTTGTGAACACACACCTGTAATCTGTTCAAAACAATTAACTCAATCTAGGAACCCCATGTTACCTTGTTAACAACCAAAGAGGGAGTTATGTGTTCTGTCCCCCAAACCACCACACCGCACCCCTGCTTTTCAGCAATATTTCAGCAACGTAGTAGGCAGCTAGGCGAAAGAGACCATGCAATGTATTTTTTTATTTATTTATTATTTTATTACAGGATATTTTATAGCGCACATAACCACGCACCAGTGCATGCTCAAGGTGCTGGTATTTTTTCCCTCGATCATTGGATGTCAATCTCAACGGCACATCGCATTATCAATCTCAACTCCCTGGGGAGTATACAACTCTTGCAGCCACTAGGCACACCGAATTATTGTGGCTTTCTCATCCTGATGAGGTACCCATTCACAGCTGGGTGGACTGGGACACATAGTCACAGTACTTTGTCCATGTTCACTGCACGTTGCTGTACCCGCAACTAGGTGTTTGCACGTATTCATGTGGCCACCATCTGGTCAAATACCAACGGGTTCTCGGGTTATTTTAAGTGCACAGGGTTGTGTACTGTACACTAAGGGTTGTGACAACACTGAAAGAGTCTGCACACAAAGTTGACTCCAAGGTTTTTACACCCGGTCACAGGTGGGCTCAATCCCGACACCTCAACCTCGCTGGATCACTAGCCTGGTGCCTTAGCCAGCTCGCCCACCGCAGAGATTCAAACAAAGTTTTTGGCATGATAGGCAAACACTCTATGCACTTGTCTACTCTGCCGCCCCATCAACCATATAGTTGTTGTAGCATATTTTTTTATCATGGTTCAGAGGCAAAATTTAATATATTTAATATTTTTGGGGTCTGTTGTCATTAGACCACCAAAATATGTCATCAACAACCAGCAAATGCATGGAATACCCATAGCCGTATATGATGTAACCTGATACCAACTCACGGTGAGTCCAAGGAGATTGAGGAGGTCCTTCTGTGCCAGCTCCAGGATGTACTCGTCTGTGTAGCTGTCCGACATGAGCCCCAGAGTGTCCCCGTGACCACTGGATCTCTTGGGCCTATGTCGATAGCTGGGCGTTGTTGGACCATCAACATCCGACTCCTTGAACAGCTGGAAATATAACAATCTTTTACTGAAAGGGCTTTTACAGAATACTACAGAAGTACAATTCAGAAGCAATAACAACAGAAACAATAATATTAGATGGGACTGTAAAAAATACAAAAGGATTGATCAAGGATTTTTAAGTTCACATGGAGGAATATTTAGCTGTCAAAACCTCATGTTACATCTCCAAATTAGTATATTTTGGTTGCCATACTCTTAACATTCAGAGGTATTCAAACAGAGGTATAAAGACAGTGTCTTATTGAGTTCAACTAAAGAGTTTTGAAGGTGCTTGAAAGCACACAGCACAGATTCAAACACACAAACACAGATGCATACACAGGCATACACAGAGACAAACACACATACACAAGGCTTTGGACTGGGTAGAGACTCAGGAGAATTAATGACAAGAGATCTGACCTGTTTGCTTGGTGGTGAGCCTGTGATGGAGCTGCTGTAATTGTCTTGCTTCGGAACCCGGGCTCGCATGCAAGCAGTGTCAAAGTCGGATGGGTGGCGATCTTTGTCCGAAGTGCTGCTCAATAGCTTGGTACGACCTGAAATACATGCAAGTACACTCATGTCAGCAGCTACATATCATGAGCATTCCAGTCCACATCCATCTGTCTTTTTGTGTCTCACATGGACGTCCCTTTCTATAGTAGTTTACAGTATACAGAAATTTGAAAATTTTAATATAAATTGTATATTTATATACTTATCCTATCTCACGGTATGCACTTCTCTCTCTTGATTCGACACTGAGTGGAACGATGTAAACCTTTTTCCCTAGGCCTCTCTTGTCCATCAGCCCAAGCACTCCATGCTACCCTCATTATAAGACAGCTTCCTAGTTGTCATGCAAAGCATGCGGCATGCACCACTAGCTGCCCACGTGACTATCTCTGAATCATCATTCTCATTCTTGGAGCCACTGGATAATATCCATCTTGGAGAATCTGTATAGCGGGTAGGATGGGTGGGAATCCGTCGCGTGAGATAGGATAAGTATATAAATATACAATTTATATTAAAATTTTCAAATTTTTAAACTTATCCTATCTCACGGTATGCACTTATCCCATGGTCGGATGGCGGGACGCAGATACCCTGTGTCTTGACAGTGCCAACAGCAGGAACTGTGTAGACTGGAAACGACCGTAGATAGCGATGCACACGGGAGGCATATTACGCATGCACGCAACTCCTATGCTTGTGCTGAGAGTTCTGTTGAACTCCTTGGCTTACTAAGCATGTCTCCCAGAGATCTCCCGAGCGATGTGGTGTTCGGCCGCAAGCTCCGAAGAAGCACGCAGCTCAGTGAGAAAGGATGTCACTTCGCCACGATTTTCAAGGTACCCCCGTAAATTAAAGTCGGTTGACAATAATCGGGCCAGCCCCTGCTTCGAGAAGACGGGTGAAAGAGAAGCACAACTCGGGAACTCCAAGTTTAAACGTTCAGTTCCGGGACAGCATCAAATTGACCCTCACTCCTTTGCATAAGCTTAGTCAAAGGATGTGCCCGGCAACTACGGAGTCGGAACGCAACGAAATCCACTGGAATTCGGGAGTGACACACTTCAATGACGTAATTGCTTCAAAAAGTAGAGGTCAGAAAACGTGACATGTCGAACCCTTCCACATCGTGATACAGAATCAAGCTCCAGTTTTGTCCAACCACCGACGTGGCAGAATCTCTGTGTCTTAGTATAAAACTAATTGAAGTAGTTCTAACCCATAAGCAATCAAAACATAAGGCAGACAGCAGGTTCAGACTTATATTCAAGAAAATTCAGGAGAAGCAGCAACCGTGAGGGACAGTTCCCTATCTGCGTTGGTGGGCCGTAGACAGCTGTTGTGCGAGCACAAGGGGTCCAAACTGGTGCAGGCCTTGTACATCCTTGACTGAGAGGTCTCGAAGGTAGTGCGAGGAGAAGACCGAGTCGGATCGCCAGAAGCATCCTTCCATAATGGCGTAGAGAGAGCAGTTACTATGCAGAGCCATTGTAGACGCTAACGCCCGTGTCTCGTGTGGATTGGAAGCTGTCAGGGCTGGTAACCCAGCGAAGGTGTAAGCCCATAGGATGGTGGCTCTCATCCAGAAGGATAAAGTGGTGCGAGAAACTTCCGCCCTTGATGTTGAGGACAACGGAATGAAAAGGCGCTTGCGGAGACAGCGGCGATCTTTAGAAGCAGCAAGAAAAATCTTCAAAGCCTTAACAGGGCAAAGCTGCAGGTCTTCATTGTCATGCGGCCCAAGGATCGTGGACAATGGTGGGATGGTAAAAGTATGATCGGGTTGTCCCAGCAACTGATTCTTCCCTACAAAATCCCAAGGAGACCGAGGAAGACTTTGCCATGCTTCTTCCGTTCAAACTGGACTCTGTTAACGTCCAAAGCGTGGAGTTCAGAAATCCGAGTAGTTGTAGCCAAGGCCACAAGGAAGAAGGTCTTGAAGGAGATCCTTCTGAGCTAGGGGTTCATAGTCCGCCGAGGCTAGATGACGCAGCACCACAGATAAATCCCAAGCAGGAGGTCTAAACTTCTTAGACTGATCGGCCAACTTGAAGGACCAGAGTAAATACTGAAGCTCAGGAACCGTGGAGACCTTAGAGCCTGTGGTGGTAGCCAGGACCGAGTTGATCGCAGCAAGATAAGTGGCCAAAGTGGAACCCTTGAGCTTCTTAGACGACCGCAAATGCTGAAGAAACTCAGCGACGATTTGAGGCAAAGTAGAAACAGGAGATGTAATGTCTCTGGACGTGCGATATCTCTAAAAACATTTCCACTTCTCATCATAAAGTGAGCGGGTGGAAGTCCGATGAGCAGAAGTGATGGCCATAGCCACTCTCCGAGAATACCCCTTGGCGATTAAGGACTTCTGCAGATGCAGAAGAGACAGGGTGTGTAGGGATACATGACGCCAATCCGCGTGAGGGTGTAACAGAAGGTCGTCCCGATCGGGAACAGGAACTGGGTTTAGGTCTGCGAGCTGTGCGAGATCGACAAACCAACTCCTGACTGGCCAGAATTTCTGGATGACTGTGGGTAGAAGAGCCAGAGGTGGAAAGGCGTAAGCGTTGAGTCCCTCTCACGAAATCGCCAGAGCGTCGAGATCCCATGCTAGTTGGTCTGGTACCGTCGAGACAATCTGTGGGAGCTGATGGTTGAACCGTGGCTGAATAGGTCGACCTGGGGCCTTGATAATGGGAAGACCAGTTCCTGAAAGATCTGTGGGTTCAATTGCCACTCCGTGCGAGACGGCCGATCGAAGCGGGACAACGCATCTGCGATGACATTCCTGACTCCGGGAATGTGTCTGTCTCGAGCATTGATGGCGAGGGAGTCGATCAGATGGAAGAACGAAAACCCCAACTGAAGAAGGTTCGCTGAACCCGTCGACCCGAGATGGTTGGTGTACCAGACGACTGAGGAGTTGTCTGTCTGAATCAGCAGGGTGGACCCCGAAGTTCCGTCGCCCAATGTCGAATGGCGAGAAGAGCCATCAAGAACTCGAGTTCGTTGATGTGCAAGTCCCGTTCTGCAGACGACCACAGCCCAGCTGTCTGATGATGGAGAAAGTGAGCCCCCAACCTTTGAGTGACGCATCGATGAACAAGTTGGAATGAACGGCATCAAACAAACTCCGGCGCAAATGTTCTTTTAGACAAGCCACCCCTGAAGAAAAGGATGCAAGGGTTCGGGAAGACGAATCAACTCCTGGAGATTCTCTGAGACGAGATACGGACGCAGTAAACGTTGCAACGGACACAGTTGCAATTGTCCCCGCCGTGTCAATGCCTGTGCCGATGTCAAGAGGAACCAGAAACATGGGGGAATAGAATCCCGGAGTACTGGGCGCCGGGCCCAGAGACTGGACTGCGGGTAGTTTCCTGCGCAGGAGTCCAGGAATCTGGTACAATCCGAGTAAAGAGACGCAAGGAGGCAGGAGTCCCGTCAGAAGTCATAGCACGCTGAGATCGCAACTCAGAATACCGTTGATTAGATCGATGATCCGTAGAACCATATCCATGTCTGGAGGGGACGAACCGGGAGAGGATGCCAAAATGGAGACCTGCTGAGAACGGGAGCGAGGAGGGGATATATCGCAACGATAACGACGATCCCTGGATCTTGAACGATAGGCAGCAGTCAACCATGTAGGAGATCTAGGTTGACGGGTCGAGTGCGCAGAACCGGAAGTCCCATGATGACGAGAGGACGAATTCCGAGGAGGTGACTTGGAACGAAGAACCGATCTCAACGAAGCAGAGGGAGGTGTGGGCTTAGTTGAACGCGAATGAGTCGAAGAGTGGTGTCTCGGCAGTGAAGTAGACCTATCAGGTCTATCCGGTGAACAAATCCGAATAATAATAGGAGACTGATCCAGACGACTCAGTGAAAGCCGCGTCCGTGCTGAGGAGGCGTGACTGTAGGATCCAACAGAGTTCGGGGAAGTACTCAGGTGATCCGGAGAGAGGCATTCTGCTGAATACCACTTGGAAGAAGGCCGTTTCGGTGAAAGTCTATTCATCACATGCCGTTTCGGCGAAGTCTAAAGTTTTGGCAAACTTTGTTTCAACGAAGTACGATTAGGTGAAGTCCGTTTAGCACACGATCGATCCGGAGAATGCTGACTCTTAGACTGGTGTTTCGATGAAGACCAGTTCGGCGAAAGCTGTTTCGTAGAGAGCCGGTCTAATTCTGGGGAAGGTGGACAGTCCGGCGGAAGTCGAGGTGGAGGGGAGCGGACAGGCGAAGCGTGATCGGACGAACTGTGATTCCATCTGGCAGGCTTCGGCAAAGCAGAGGATCTAGACAGCTGGACACAAGACACACTTCTTTTCGCCGAATGGGAAGGAGACAGCGAAGTAACCACTGACAGACGCGTTGGCGAGGTGGACTGGTTCCTCTCACTGCTTGATGAGCGGCGAAGGCGAAACGGCTTCTGCGCATGCGCTCTGCGCAGTCAGGTGTAGAGATCAGCTGATTCTTGTCTGAAACAGATAAGCCAGGTTGCCGAGATAACTGGTCCGGTGAACGAGAGACAGAGAGCGTAGTTCGAAGGTCCCGCTGTTTAGAGGTATCCTGAGGGGTTGTAGCACGCTCAACAACCACTACCCGTGATGAAGGACTCGGGCTTGAGTGTTGAGAGCCCAACAAATGCCGAACATCTTCCGATAAGAAAGAATCTGAAGACGCACTCATGAAATCCTGGGGAGTGAGGGGACTGTGACCGTCGCGCAAAGTAGGATGCTTAAACTTTCCTTTCTTGGAGGGACTGGGTCCGTCAAGTGAAGCGGCATAACGTGCCCTGTCAGCAACACGACGAGCGCAACCACGAGTGTAGTCACCAAACGATCCTTGCACTTATCGCAACGAGAGTCCCATTTACACTGTCCCATACAGTCAACACAATATCCATGTGGATCACTCACGGAGAACACTTTATTACACCGGGAGCATTTTTTCCTCTTCTTTGGTTGGTCAACTTTCCCCATGTTGTAGACTAAGTTGAAAACGTTGAGCAAAGCAAAATACGTCCACACTCGTGTGCGACAAGAAAGAATGATGATTCGGAGATAGTCACGTGGGCAGCTAGTGGTGCATGCCGCATGCTTTGCATGAGAGCTAGGAAGCTGTCTTATAATGAGGGTAGCTAGAGTGCTTGGGCGGATGGACAAGAGAGGCCTAGGGAAAAAAGTTTACATCGTTCCACTCAGTGTCGAATCAAGAGAGAGAGAAGTGCATACCGTGAGATAGGATAAGTTTAAAATGTCCACTTGTCCAGTAATATCCCATTTGAATGAAGACTGAGCAAGTGATTTGGTCTGGAATGCATACCTGGAACTTGCTCAGATGTAGATCTGACGTAAGCAGGTCGTTTTGAGTCTGCATCCTCGGCTTTCTCCTCTGCCTCCACGCCACCAGCGCCAACTGAACTACTGTGGGAGTACTTGTGGATCTTGTGAGGGCTGCCATGGTGGGCGATGGTTTGAATGGACAGAGTACGAAGATCTGTACGACTTTCCTGCAAGAATGTGTAGCACATTATGAGATTCTCAATTTATTTTAAAACTGAATATCAGTTGATACAGACATATTTTGTATCCACATGACATATTAAAAACATATATCAATACCCTTTAGAATATTGATAAAGAAGAGTCACATGGCCATTTAGCTTTACTGAATTTAGAATAAAAATGTCAGAGATGTTGAAGGTGGATTGGAATGCAGTGTGCAAGTTACAGCTCCATACACTCGAACAGAAGTTAGAGAAAGAAACAAACCACTAGGCTACCCCACCCAGCCCAGCAGTTACAGACTGCCTTGTAAAACCTGTTGGTCTAGTGTCATGGTGATATGCTGGTTAAGCTATCAGTATCACCAAACTTTGCGTTTTTGTCTAACATCTCTCAAACTGCCTTTTACATTTTAGTGAGAACCCATGATACTGACAAGCCAATGCTGGAATTCCAACCCTCACACCGGCATTTGCTGCAGTTACTAAGGGAGGTAACTGGTGTACTTACAGGGTTGATGAGCTCACTGCTGAGACCCAGATAGTTGTGGAGAGCCATGAATGTCACTCGCTGCAGTCGGATCATCATTATCTGTGGAACAGACATAAGGTTTTCATGTTAAGTGATCTTGTGTAATAATTTTCTAGTATTTGAAAATGCATGTTGGCTTGTCTCTGAGTGGAAACTAAATGGTGTCACAGCTTCATTATGGAAAAACGGTCAACATGATGGCACGCATTGTTCATGACATCACAATTTCTTTATGTGAAATCATCTGAACAATAGGCTGTTCAGTGAAGTTTCTCTGTGATGATGGCATTAAATACACTGTTTCTGCAATTCTCATAAAATAAGCAATTGAGTTTTGATTCCTAGACTGCCTGACTGAGTTTGGCTTTACGCCGCTTTTAGCAATATTCCAGCAACATCACGGCGGGGTACACCAGAAATGGGCTTGTACCCATGTGGGGATTCGAACCCGGGTCTTTGGCGTGGCGAATAGCGCTTTAACCACTAGACTACCCCACCGCCCCCTTTGATTCCTAAAATATGTACAAGGCGTGAAACCAATAGGTGTCCATCTCACCAACACTGTGTAATAGTTCTAGAGAGTTAAAGCATATTCATCAGCAACCCATGTGTTTTGGGTAGTCAGGCTCACTGGCATTACTGCATGTCATCGTAACCTATAATTGCACAGATCAATGTCAGTTACTGAATTGTATGGTCGAGCCTTGAATATTTACATATAGCTGTAATATTGGTGTGAGCTGCATTAAAAAGACAGACAAAACAGAGATCAAAGTTACAACGGAAGTAAGTCATACTAACCTGGACAACCCTGACAATAGACTCAGGGAACTTCTTGAACATTGAGCTGAAGGCTGACGCAGGCAACCTGGGAGAGTTACATAGAAAGGCAATCATTCCATCCTAACACTCATTCTCAAAACCACATTAGCCTTGCTCGTCATCAACTATGTCTCACCAACAAGCTAATAACATCTTGTGCATCCATTTTCTTAGAATATAGATCTTAATCATCAATCAGGTTGTCTTAACGGGGACCACCATTTTCATTGACACAAACGCATGTATGATAGGTGAAATCTGATTAGCTATCAGGTCTGGCAGAAAGGATATAACTGGTACCGTAGGAGAAATTTAAACCCAGTTCGGCAAAGGTTGGAAGTGGACTTTCATAGTTAGGGACCGTTCATAATTAATGATTCGGGGGTGATGATGATTTGACTGACTGACTGAGTTTGGTTTTACGCCGCTTTTAGCAATATTCCAGCAACATCACGGCGGGGGACACCAGAAATGGACTTGACGCATTGTGCCCATGTGGGGATTCGAACCCGGGTCTTCGGCGTGACGAGCCAACACTTTAACCATTAGGCTACCCCACGGCCCTGATGATGATTTGAAGAGAGGAGGGGTGTTTGCATCAATTTTGTACACATGTAATAGCGGAGGGTAGATTGACTTTCTACATGACATGCAGAGAGGAGAGGAGTGACACTTACTTTGTACATAAATATTAGGTGGGGTCATTCACATTGTATACATGTGTCTCCATAAAAATCATCAGCCCCCTTGACATAAATTATGAACAGTCTCTTATCTCCTTTGTCTTGGGAAGATTCACACAAGCAAAATTAATGGCAGATGTGTTACTGCAGCATTAAAGACATGTTAAAGTATTTAAACTTTGATACAACAGGGTCAAGCTTGTAAAACCCTGTGAAACACACAGTGCTTCTGTAAATGATGAGACAAAGAGTAAGCTCCCTTTTCATATCAATCTTCTTTTTCCTATAACTGATTTTTTAAGACTTATTCATATTTCATATCCAAAGATTGAGGTCAGAAAGTGGGACGGACAGGGATGGGTTTCATGTCATTTGAAAGGAATTCCAGTTGTATGTCTGCATAATGAGGATGAGAACCAGGAAGGATGCAAGGCTGGGCACAAAATCATCAAGAAACAGAATATGGAGATTCAGATCATCAGGTTTTGGCCGGAGTTAGGAAGACACCTTTGGACCAAGTTCACAAGTCCAATCTGCACTGACACAACTTACTTGAGGATGAGTGAGTCCACTGCTGCCTTGGCGGAAACAGTCTTGTAAGGGGCTGGGTGACCCTGCAACACAGTGTCACATACAGGAGATGGACAGGGTGCAGTTACATGTACATGTGAATTCTAATTACATTTCTATTGTCATTCAAATATATTTCTCTAATTATGTAATTTTCTGACTAAAATTGATAGTTTATACTTATCCTGACTCATGCTAATTATGCTTGTCTCCTCCCTCTTGCGAATGATAGTGGAACACTTGAAATCCCTTGAAGTTCCCTTCTAAAAGAGCGGACGTAAAATCGCTCACCCAAGAGTAGCGTCCCTTTCCTCCCTTTTGGAGCCCAAATGGTCACATGATCGGCCATATTTGTCACTCTCTCCGTATGTAAGCCCGACACCCAGACTTACAGGGAATTCCAGAGTGCGGTAAGTGGGGATGTTGAGAGGGCTAACCTCATGAGTCAGGGTAAGTATAAAATATCAATTTTAGTCAGAAAATTACATATTTTTCATTATCCTGAATCATGCTAATTATGCTTGCAGAATCCCTCGGAAACAGTGGTGGGTCAGGCCACATTCTGGTTTCACTGGTTGTAGATTTACTTCCTGTATTACCCCCACCCCCCCCACCCCCCATGGGAACTTATGACGGCACTGTTGAAGATTCTGTTCTTTCAACTTCTCTCTGATGAGTCTGGGGGACCACAACTTGTCTGATTTCTTCGACATTTTGTCATTTTTCTTGTGGATTTTAGATCTACTAATATTCCATTAGTTATCAATTGCAACTCCATCTCTTGATGCACGCATCAAGTGGAGATCCCCTCTTCATGAACAAGTATGTCCTATTTAAGTTACAGGGTCTATCACGCCATATAGCTGGAATATTGCTAAGTGCGGCGTAAACTAAACTCACACACTCACACACATGGTCTATCACTGATGCTAGTCTGTCTTAGATGTGTGCATGGTGATAATTGTACTGAGGGCAGCTAAGTAAGTTGAGAGTGTTGAACATTTCAAGTGTCTCGTCTGTCGTAGATGACATAAGTATTCTGCCACTTGAGGATGTGTTGCTTTCACCGCTGTAAAGCCTTTCCTCTTTGCATATTGTTCAAATCTCTGCCACTTGTCATCGTACTTGTTGATCTTGTTGACCCATCTTTGTTGATGTAAAACGCCACTGTGGAGTTGTCCGTGTGTCCCCTGAGTCATGTGTTCTTTAGTATGCTGGGCCAATGTTGTAAAGCGTTGATTACTGCTTTCATCTCCAACAGATTGATGTGTGACTTCTCATCCTGACTCGACCACTTTCCTGCTGCCACTTCGTTGTTGAAGTGCGCACCCCATCCTTTTAGGGAGCCATCCACGAAGAAATGAGTGTTGCAAACCGGCTCTGACAAAAAAGGTTCCTCCGCAAACGTTTGACTTCGAGTCCACCATAGGAGTTATGGTTTCAGGCTGTCCAGTAGTATCAACGGATCTAGACTGTCTAGGTGGGCGTTCATAAATACTTGTAGTGGGCGCAACTGTAATCTCCCTCTGCGAGTCATGTCTTGAGCTGAGGTGAGTAGACCAATCATGCTTTGCCAAGCATGTAGTGTCAACGGAGAGAGCAATGCTTGAAATATCATCTGTTGTATCTTGACCCAACGATCCTCTGGAATGACTATGCGATTCATTGGTGTGATGAGTCGAATTCCTAGAAATTGCAGATCTTGTTTCGGCTCCAGTTCCGACTTGAAGAGATTTACTAGCCATCCTAGTTGAGTGAGCAGCCTGATGGTGAAGTCTAGTTGACTGAATTGACTGGGATCGTGATGAGCTTGAATCCTGTCGTCCAGGTAGAAAGCACTGTGTAGACCTCGACAATGTAGATATGTGATGATGGCTTCTTCACTCGAGTAAACAACCAGGGGGCCGTCGATATTCCAAATGGTAGAACATTCCACTGGAAGTGATATCCGTTGAAAAGGAATCGTAGGTATTACCTTGAGTCTGGATGTATCGGGATGTGGAGGTACACATCTTGCAGATCTATGCTGGCGAGGTAGTCTGCTGAACGAACGAGATGTCGGAGCTGAGGAAGATGTATCACCTTGAATTTTGCTGGTCTGCGTAAATACTCTCGGTTGAACTTCCTCATGTTGTAGATGAGCCGAAATTTCTCCTAGGAATTCTTCTTCGGTACCAGGAAACTTGGGGAGTAAAACCCGGGCGTGATGAGATCTTGATCTATCTCTTCTACTGCCTCTTTGTCGAGTGGGGTCTTGATAGCATCTTCCATTCTTTTTCAGAGAGATCGTCCTTGGGGTACATATTATGCATTTTCCGGCTGTAAAATGTCCTGTGACAGTTGTATCAATGTTTTTTGAATAAAAAGATTGTACAATAAATAAACTCTTTTATTTATTATACGGACCCTACCTCACGGAGTTACCTCCCTTAGCGCATGCGCACCAACTGGGTAGGCTCCTAGACCCGTATCATCATTCCTTCTGCTGTCACGGCCCTGAACAGACGTTCGTTGTGATTACCTTTCATGAGCGAGACGGCGCTGTGTATTTTAAGATGTCTGAGACACCACCTGTATGTTTGGTTTTATTTGTCTAAAACAATAACAGTAAAGCCTTACAGTGGTTGTTTCATAATTGTGACTTTGTATAAGTTACTATCAAAATACGCGAAACTTTCCGTGGTTTCACGAAGTTTGCTCTGCCATGGCGGGAAGTTTAGCGTGCGGCGTGGTCGTAATTATTGGCGCTTTAAAACCAACTATTACTTCTTCCGGTGGGTAACCTTCACGTATTTTTCAATGTTTTCTACGTGTTTTCTGCTGCTGGCCACAAGTTAACTAGCATGTTTACGTGTTTGTTTCGAGCTTTTTACCTGTTGTTCGGTCTGTGGGGAAGTATTCTCGGGCTGACAGTCACTCCCAATGCGTGGCCTGTCTGGAGAAGACGGGCCATGTGGCTGATACATGTTCACACTTGTTCGGCCTTTTCCCCGGACACAGAAGAGGCGGGCTGCCGACACCCTGTTTTACCGCTGAGATGCGTGGCGGAGGGACCTGACGGAAGGTTCCCGCCAAAATCTAAACGTGGCGTCCAAAAGGAAAAAATCCCGCGGCCCTTCCCCTCTCCTACCACTTCCAGTGGTTTTGACATGTCTCTAATGGAGTCGATGTTTCAGCAGCAAGCAGATGGACTCAATGAAGTCCTTCGCTCGAGTCGGTTGGAGGTCTCCGCCAGGGAGTTCCTCGCCCACCCTCGACGGGGCGGGAGAGTCCGGGTGGATCGCCGCCTCGGCTTGATCCTTCAGCCTTGAGGCGCTCTGTCGATCCGTTGCCTCTGGCTTCGAATCCGGACGCCTCGGCTGCTCCGAGAGAGAGGGAGGTGCCCCAGTCCCCTCTCGGAGCTTGGGCGCTTGGGCCGTTAGTATTTCCTGGTAGGGCTCCGGTCCTCCTGGCGCACACCCGGGCCTCTACAAGAGCGGAGGCACCAGTTCTGCCTGGCCTGCCTCCAGCGTCTTCCGCGGGACCGGGAGTCCACGCGACGCCGGCTGGCTGCCGATGGAAGCAGTCGGTTCGTTCCTCCTTCCTGTGGTGCCCAGCGCTAGGCAGTCCACCGGGTCGGGTTAGGGTCCTCTTCTGGCGGAGGGAGACCCAGCCTCGACTTTCGGCCTCGGGCCGCCGGCAATGGAGCTCGGGGGAGGTCGAGGAGCATGACGGCAGCTTCCGCTTTGCTTCGCCTTTGCGGGAGGTCCGGCAGAGAATTGCCGAGGGCCTACCCCAGGCCGCGGTGCCTGCTGGTTGCGTGACTCTCGACTGAGTTCCGCTTGCCTGGTGAGGTTTGCCCTAGGCAACCTCACACAGACGAGCCGCAGCTCCGCGATTCTGCCATCGTTGGTCGGGACGTGGTCGATCCTCTTGTCTGGTACCGAAGTCAGGTTTGACTTTACCTGAACTCGCGGCGGCGCTACCAGCTTGGGGGAGGATTCCCCTGTTCGTCGTGACCGATCGTTGACGAAGTGTGTTTTCACTTCCGCCCTGGGGGAACGAACTTCCTCCGAGCAGCCGGCTGCTCGGCAAGGCGCGCTCACTCCACCTTTTGCCCTCGGCGCTTCCTGCGGCGCTGCATCGACCGGACCTACGAGGTTCACCGGAACGCCATACAGCAGGTGCGGATGGTGGTCCATGAGGCCTACCTCTCCTCGATACAGAGTCGGCCTGGAGGCGGAGGGGCATGCTGGCGACGTGTCGCCGCGATGTCGAAAAGCTACTCCGTACAGCTGTCGGAAGTTCAGGCTCACCTCGGCGGCGACTCTTTGCGGTCTGCTGCGCCGGACGGTGATGTGCGCAGTCATGGGGATCGCGCCAGGCTGTGGCTGTCGACGCTCTAGGTACTTCGGCAGCAACACAGCAGACCTTGCTGGCTCTCCCTTTCCGCCTGGGAGCGACCACTCTTTCCCGGCACAGCAGGTCATCACGGGGAGGCTGCCGCTGCAGCTACCTCCTTCGAATGATTCTAAGGCCTTGTTGGAGCACCAGCTGGTGTCTCCCGGCAAGGCCGTGCCACCTTCTCCGCCGAGGTGCAGCCTACACCGAGTCTGCCGGCCGGCTTCGCCGATGGTAGGGGTAGGCGGAGGAGTAGGTCCGCCAAGGGTAGGAGAAGGAGCAGTCCTCGACCAGCGCTCCTTAGCTCTTTGGCGGAGGTCTCGCCCGACCTCCCGTTAACCCAACAGGCTGCCGCTCAAGCCGCGTGTCACACCCAGTCAGCTCGCCATTAGGGTCCGCACGACGCTCACCCCATATCCCAGTGGGGAGGCGTCAGCTTCTCTATTCCTTCTGCCGGAATGGGAGAAGGCTACCAACAACCTTGGGTGCTGGCCACGGTCAGCATAGGCCATCTCCCACTGTGGAAGCGAGGTCCGCCCGACTTCACCGGCATACGACGCACTCGGTGCCGCCATGCCAAGCCAGGGCGGACATATTGCCGCGACGAAGTTCAGGCTCTGCTGGACAAGTCCGCAATCGAAATGCATTCCACCGGGAGAGGAAC